TAGTACATTTTCAGAGAAAAATTAAAACGGTTGAAATAATTCTGGTCACGTGAAGAGCGTTCAATCATTCAAAAACCAATAAATATTTGATGCAGGATAACAATTACATTATTACCACTGTCCCCAGATCCAGACATTCCAGCGTAAATGTATGCTCATTCCCCACCCCTACGGCCAACCGTAAACCCATTTAGCACCTGGGTGGGGAATGGTAAATATTAACTAAATGTATTGTCAAAGAACCGTAGTGCTAGTCTCGTAATCGAACCATTAACTCTTTGATTGAGATTCATTTAAGTGAAGAAACCACTATCAGTGCAAACCAGAAAAAACGAAACCGAGAATTATCGATGTTTTATCATAACTAAATCACAATCATAATTAATAAATAACACACACTTGTAAAGCTTAGATCCTCCTCTTTCATTTTGATGCAACTCATATGATGCATATTTCACGCATAAGTGATTAAAAGCAATAAGAAGGAAGGAAACCAAAAAGTCATTTGGCGGGCGGTATCTAAATTTCGAAGGAAATTCACATTTCCAGAAAGTTAATTTGTTGCTCTTTCATATGACACCTTAATCAGGAAAAATGAGCCAGGAATAACAAAGTTCCGTTTGTTTTAAGTGATGCTTGCATTTCCATAATTTTATTAAACGAATTCATTTTCACTGGCTGTCTACTGTCTCAACAAACGGAATTGACAAAAGCTTTAAATCCGTTTCGTTGACGATCAGCCATAGACGAAAATACTTCATGCATGGCTGATTGTCAACGAAACGGAATTAAGTATTTTGTCAATTATGCTTGTTGCTACGGCAGGCAGCCAGTAAAACGCACTTTTAAAATCAAATTATGGAAATGCAAACATCATTTTAAACAGACAGAACTTGGTTATTCCTTGCTCATTTTTCCTGATTGAGGTTTCATATGACAGGGCAGAAACTGAACTTTCTAGAAATGTGATGTTTATCCCCTCTCTTCAAATTAATTTTAATCACTCATGCGTGGATTATGTATCATATAAGTTCCATCAAATAAAAGAAGAAGATCTAAGCTTTACAAATATGTGTCATTTATTAATTATAATCGTGAGTAAGATATGATAACACATCGATCACGGTTTTTTTTTTCTGGGACGCACTGTACAACGACGCTTCCATATCATTGCGTTGGATGTCAGAGTGACAGTACGGTGCTTTAGCAATGCGAATGAAGCAAAGACGACGAGAGAAATCACTCAGCCGAGATTGCCCTGTACTACGCTCCCGTCTTTATGTGTAAACTGTATGTAGAGCGCTTCTGCAAACACGACGGTAGGCAAAGACGAGGGTAACCGAGTAAAATAATCAATTTGCGCATGTGCGAACCAGAATTTTCTCCATCTTGTTGATTTTCACGGCCGTTCTCAGCCATAATAGGGACTTTTAGATTTGACAGCTTTGACTGCAACGTGTGATGTCATTTTAAGGCACTGCGCATGCGTTACGTCGTCTCAGTCGACGATCGAGAATGCGTCAACCTTGATTTTCCTAAATCTAGTTCATACAAACATACATATTGATATTTATATAGCACCTTTACATGCTCAAGGTACTAGTATGCCGCGTGCGCATAAAATATACAGTTCCTCCGGTAGACAAAGTAACATCCCTTCCCTGCTATTATGTTAAAATGTGTAGAACGGGTGTCACATGCATATTCACCTGTTCTGCACATTTTTACATAATAGCAGTGAAGGGATGTTCTTTTGTTGAGGGTAGAATGAGGAATTGTATATTTTGTCCTCTTTCTTTGTCCGTGATGTTCATAGTGTTACTTCCTGCATGCATGTATATCGTCAAGTGCAATCTAAAAGATTTCTAATCGTAGTCAACATGGGCAGTTGACACGCATGACACGTTGACACGCATGATCAGTCGGCGTTCGTCGTGTTCTCGTCCACTCAATCTAAAAGTCCCTAATAGCGTTCGTTCCCTAAACTCGACGGAAGAGTTGTATCGCCGTACAATAGAACATTTTCATAATGTAACCAAATTTAACGCATAAGTCTTTGTGAAGTGCATCAATACAAATTATTTTATTCACCTGATAAGAAAAATAGTATTTCAATAGACAGGATCTGAACTGCATACATTATTTGATCTCGGTTGAGTGAATTTTCCCGGCCGCTTTGCCTTCCGTCGCGTTGCTAAAGCGTCCTACTGAGGATGCTACATCCCTTCCTCTCTTTCGATAGTTTTTTGTTTATTTTTTATGCATTTATTTATATAAACATAAAACTAAAATGTATTACATACATACATACATACAATTGTCTTTTATATAGCGCAACATCCAACGAATTGCTCGAAGCGCTTTACAGAAATAATGACATAGTAAACACAAGATAATACATGTATAAAAGAGTAATTATAATAACAAACAAAAATATTAGAATTACAATTTACTTATTGAAGAGGTACGTTTTTAGTTTTTTTCTTGAAAATTTCAACTGAGGGAGAGGTACGGAGGTCGAAAGGGAGGGTATTCCAAATTTTGGGGCCATAATAAAAGAAACTACACTCCCCCGATCTTGAATTGATACGTGGTAATTGGAGGAGCGTGGGGTCGTTAGAAGAGCGGAGGTTGTATTGAAGTCTAGGAGGAGTATGTAGAAGCACAGACAGATACATTGGTGCACAATTATTCAAACATTGGTAGACAATTAGGGAAACTTTGTATATGATTCTGTTATTTACGGTTAACCAGTGTAATTGCTTAAGTAGAGGAGATGCTTTAGAATAAATTAGTTTATATCCAAAATAGCATTTGTCCTGTGTTTTGTTTCCTAGAAAACGATAAATTCCCTACTGTCGTTTCTTTGCGGCTGAAGTAAGGGAGAAGAAACTCAATGGGTGTGGAATCAGGGATGGGGGGGGGGGGGTGGGCAAAAATTCCAGGGGGCTCACATTCCAGGGGTTGTGACGTAATGAGAAAAAAAGGTATTTAATTACGGTTAGATGAGCATCCAGGGGCCCTCTGTAAGGCAATTGACGTGTTCCAAGGGGAGGGGGAGCCTCCAGAAGCTCAGAGGTTTTAATATTTAACTACGGTCAGATGAGCATCAAGGGGCCGTCTTAGGGCCCTTGGTGGGGTCCAGGGGGCAAAGCCCCGGAAGCTCAGTGGTTTGAGGTATTTAATAACGGTCAGATGAGCATCCAGGGGCCCACTTAGGGCCCTTGGTGGGATTTCAGGGGGCAGAGCTTCCGGAAGCTCAGTGGTTTTAGGTATTTAATTACGGTCAGATGGGCATCCAGGGCCCGCCTTAGGGCCCTTGGTGGGGTCCACGGGGCAGAGCCCCCGGAAGCTTAGGGGTTTTAGGTATTTAATTACGGTCAGATGAACATCAAGGGGCCCGCCTTATAGCCCTTGTTGCGGTCCAGGGGGCAGAGCCCCTGGAAGCTCGGGGGTTTTAGATATTTAATTACGGTCATATGAGCATCCAGGGGCCCGCCTTAAGTTCCTTGGTGGGGTCCGGGGGCGGAGCCCCCTTAAGCTCTGGGGTTTTAAGCATTTAATTGCCGTCAGATGAACATTTTTTTATACCTTATTTGTGACATTGGCAGGTCACTTATTTTATTCTCCGTCTTTCTTTCTTTTTCTCTTTAACATACTTTTTCAAAAAGAGGGGGGGGGGGGGGGGGCTCGAGCCTAGCCACTTTGCAGACCATGACATAAAGGCTTCTAAATAAGCGTATTTCGCCAGACTGTAATTTGGGAATTTCTTATTTTTCAACAAACGCATCAAAAGGTATGACTTACAAAAAAATGGAGAAAAAATGCCGGAAAATTATGTCACAACATCAACATTTGTAAATCACTTGTTTCGAATAAGAAATACATCACCCCCTCCCCCATCAGTACGCCAGCGTTCAGGGGCTCATGTCTTCTCACCCCTATAACAACAAAACGGACACGCTTTCCCATTCTCGCACAATATGTCCACGATATGCGCGTATCGCTTTTATAGAGACCTCCATTGATAAAGACCGTATAGGTGGCATGCGCAATGTTTATGAAATTTAATTCCTGTGAACTTTCCTTTTTCTTTGAATGAAATTGTATATGTGATTTAATTCAGGTTTTTATTATTGTTACGTTCTTTTGGATTAAAAATGCAAACCATGTTTACTCCTTTTTTTTGTTACTATGTATGTGTGGAATGTGCTTGCCAGAATAACTGCACATCCAAATACAATAAGGTTTAGAATGTGCTTGCCAGAGAAAGTATGTGTGGCACTCTAACAATCTTACAGGTGTCACTAAAGAAGTGGGTGACAATTAATAAAACGTCAGACTTCAAGCCACACAATAAAGACAAGATTTAGAAATGTAAAGCTCTTCTAAGGTCAAGTACAGTAGCTCCCCTCTAGATTTTCTGTTGAATGGAAAGTAGCAACAAATCGATGAGGAAATATAGGCCAACATGTGTTGACTTGAAAATACGAAAAACTGGTAATACTGTTGAAACACGGGAGGTTAAGTACATAATAATAATAATAATAATAATAATAATAATAATAATAACTATTTCTTATATGGCGCTTCACCAGATGTTTAAAAAGTGGGGGGGGGGGGGGTAGGGGGTGTTTCACAAAGATCCTAAGTTGAACTTATCTCTAAGTTGGACTTAAAATTCATGGGAAGCCGTTAGCATCATTAAAAACATTTTGTAAAAATTGTTTTAAAAGGCACACAGTGTTGATTCAAATCGTTCATATTTTCTATCATCAAGGAGATTTCATGTTCTTGATGTGGAATTTTTTATGAAAGTCTATAATATTTGAATTTTCTCTTTTGAATATATTTAATTCTAAGGCAACAAATGGCTCTCCATAATTTTTAAGTCTAATTTAGAGTTAAGTTCGACTTAGGATCTTTGTGAAACACTCCCCAGATCCCAGGCGACAACATAAACGAACTTTGTTGACTCTACAGAGACGCCTCTTCTTTGAAACTGAGCCTAAACCCGTGCAAACCAAATATCAGGACCATTTGCCCAAAATGGTGGAAGCGTTAAGCTAACAAATGAGATTTATTATGTAATACCCCGTTATCGGTATCAGGTATGATAAGGACCATCAACAAAACAAAAGAATTCTGGACATCAGTTTAGAAATGTAAGTTCTTCAAAGGTCAAGTCACTACATCGTTGATGAAGTCTCGGCAGCTCTTAAACCCAGCAGTAGATTGACTGACTGACCTTGTGGATGGCATTCACCTCTCGCTACTTCATCTAAAGGTAGGCTGAACTTATTTATTTACTAATGTATTTGAATATGTTCATAACAACAGCTATTGAGTGATAATAACAATAAGTGGATGCAACATTGAACTTGTAATACTAAAACACATACTGTGTATATGTCAATGACAGTAAACTCGCATTAAAAGATTGAAAGAGGACTTCAGGAAAGATGCCAATAACGTACATCACAATAAGGGAGTTTTCGCAAACTCATCGCGGACGGAGAATCTGCGGTTCGTGTGTAAAATCGAGCAGCTACTATAGTAACAGCGGGGTGACCGCCGAGGTACTGAAATCCAGAACGGGTTTTAGCCAAATCTACAGGCGTTCTCAATGACGCCCGAAGTGAATCAAGTGCCTTGTTACAAACTCTTTCATTCACCTGATACGAATAATAGTATTTAAATAGACAAAATCCAATCTGCATACATTACTTGTTGCCACACTTAATACATGCTCTTTGCATTGTGACTATTGCGAATACTATAGACAGGTGGATGAAATAATTTCACAAAGACTTATGTTTTACATTTGATTACATTACGCAAATGGCCTATTCCCTGTCACATAATACAGTACAGACAAGACTACACGCCTAGAACAACTTGTCTCGACCAAGCCACAAAAAGGCTTTTTATCAAATTTCAACAATTTATCATCAAGTTTTAAAACAATTCATGTTATATCCATATTCATGTTGTTATAGTTCACAAAAAAACAATAATCGGAAGAAAAAAACCCCGAAGAGCCGTTCGCGTCCGGGGCGGGTCTAAGGGGGGGGGGGGGGGGGGAGTAGGGGGTTAAATCCCCCTTTGGGCTGCCCCCTCCCCAAGGAAAACGTTTGTTTTGGGTGCTTCTACCCCCCCCCCCCCCCGAAATATTGGTTGGCACTTTTTTAAATGAAACAAACAAATTAAGTGCTCACCGCCCCTACCCCCCCCCCCCGCCCCTGTCGCGAACCGCTCTTCTGGTTATTTTCTTCTTCTGATGGGCGTTAACCATCGGCATAGCTTCCACTTGATGGAATGTGAAGCCTAGCTTGCAAATGGCCAATATCATATTTGCTTGTTAACAAAAAAAAAAATTCAACAATGTGTTCCAATATACAAGTGTAACATCAAACAATTTTTCCAATTTAGTACTCCGCCTTTCTTATAATTTGTGTGCCAGAGTTGGTAAAAGAAAAATTACACCCTGACAAAAAGTCAATATTTTAGGACAATGTGCTAATTTGTGCGTGTTTTAATGCACCGTTATTTAATCCATGGTATACAATGTTCGATAACTATAAGTTGGCTAATGCGTGTTTTCTGTATTTTTTGCAGTTGAAAAAAGAATGAAATTACACAAGTTTATGTTCGCTTGTTCTACTCATTACACATTTAACCATTGATGAGAAATCATTGAAAGGGACAGCGCACAGTTGCTGTGATACCATTTCTGATGTAGGAATTCTAAATCCTGAAATTTCATGCGTTTTTTTTTTATATCACCACCTGGTCAACAGTTACAGAGTAGCTCATAAATTTCCGACGGCTTGGAGCATGGGGTCAAAGGAGAGCGGTTTGATTCTAGTCCTTCTCTATCACGTACCTGCTTTGTCCTAGAAGACGACGTGTGTGTAGTTTATCCCATAATGTGGGTCCTCTTCAAACAGCTCCTTATCCTTGATTAGTCTACTGTTTTCAATAATATTGTTCACATATTCATTGTTTGTATTATTAGATCCGTTTCACGCTAAACTTCTTGACTCGCCAAATAGAATGCGGACTGTGTTGATCACTGGGACCAGCCGCGGCATCGGGCTGGAGTTTGTACGTCAGTTAGCTCTCCTTCAACCAGGCCCAGAGTTCATCTTCGCTTCCTGCAGGGCACCGCATCATGCTAAGGTTTGCACAAATGAAAACGAAATAACAAACATAAAACAACAGAAGGTGATGTGGTGTAGTACGGTTTATTCATCTGATTCTTAATCGTATGGTTAAGGGTCAACATCCTAGCCTTGTAGCAACGTCAACTGTCAAGAAATGAGGGACTTTTAGATTTGCGTGGACTGATACGTACGTGTGACGTCCATTCAAGGCAGTGCATTAAAAGGACGTCGATCGTGGCGATCCACGTTGTCGTTGTGCAAATCTAAAAGTCCCTATTATTTATATTTGCCCCTCTTATCTCCTTCCAGGTAGCTTGTAATTGCTGCGGTAATAATCATGAAAATAATTTCAGTGCCCTCGAGAACAACAGCATTGGTGCGGGTAAGGTTTTACTGGCTAAACAAAATTTGGATCACTGCTAAAAGGGTTCAAACATGCAGAGCTCAACTGATGTATTACCCCCCCCCCCCCCCCCCCTTTTTTTTTTTGTTGTTGTTGGGGTGCCATTTGTGTTTTAAACGCTAGCCCTAATGACTCGTGTGTAAATGTATTATTTATAATGATGCTGCCATTTACGTTTTCAATCATAAACTTTTTCACAGTAATTAAGATGAAATCAAACAAATGCTTTGAATTAAATAGGAATTAGCAATTAAAGTAATACCATTCCCTTTGAACCTACAGGAACTCCAAGCTATTGCAGCTGCCCACAGAAATGTCAAGATCTTGGAGATAGGTAAGCCCGCTTGCAGATTGTTTATATCGTTATACCATTCGCTATTAACTAAGAGTCGGTTGACTGACGTAAGCTTGGGTCAACGACTGACCAGTGAATGTTATAGCGCCACGCATGTGAGAATGCTATAGTATAAATCATGACGGTAAAGGCAACAGTTAAAACATTGCGCTGAATTACTGACGTGGGTGTTGTTTTTCTTTCAAATGCTTGATTGGCGCAGGTATTAATGGAATCGAAATAACGCATCCTGCACAACAGAAATACGTCTAGGTATAAATCTTGTTCCAGCTTGTCACGATAGACCAAGAATGTGTGATTAATCTGCAAATTATTCTAACAAAGGAAATCCATGCGCTAATAACTCAACGTAATCTTTGCATTGTTAGTTTTTTTTTACACATTTGTACATCGCTGTGACATGACGCATGTTTCTAAAGCAGTCCTACGCGAGAAAATAGTGCACACCTGTTGTTTTTAATGATGTATTTCACACACTCTCTCTCTCTCTCTCTCTCTCTCTCTCTCGATATTTATATATATATATATATATATTTCTTTTCTCTTTTTGCCTCTCTCTGTCTCTGTCTTCCACTTTCTTTCTCTTTCTATTTCTAAATTCTATCTGTATATCTCTCTATCAAATTGAAGTAGTTTATTTGCAGAGGTCTTGACGCCTTTAAAATTGGTTTTAATTAAAGCATTGATTTATTGAATGATCGTCTGATTGCTGGAAGGAGGTAAACTTGTCAATCTCATAAAAATATGTCTAAATTATTACTACTACTAGTAGTATTGGTATTGGTGGTGATAGTGGTGGTAGTTGTAGTAGCAGTAGTATTACTGTTGCTCATAAAGTTGGAATACAAAAAATAGTGTACATATTTTCCTAAGATGATCGTGACTATATGGTATACTCTTGAACTTTATAATACACATTTACTGGTCAATCTTTATTGCTCAATACAGTTTGGAGAAAAATATAATTGTTATAATCAATAATAAGGCGTATTTTCACAATCATTTGAAGCAAGAAACAAAAACTGATATTCATGGGAAACAATGTACTTCTAGATGTGCAAGATGAATCTACTTACGGGCCTGCGGTTGAAACCGTGTCAAACCTGGTAGGCGCTATGGGTCTCAACGTCCTTATAAACAACGCTGGAATCGTCTTCAATGAAAGCTACGAAACGGTCAGCAGAGAGGTACTCTTCAAGCTCATGGACTCCAACTTCATTAGTCCATTGCGATTGACGCAGGTAAAATCATTTGTTTTTATTATAGCTGATCTAGAATTATTTTTGTTTACTCCCTCTTTGGGCTGATATTTCTCAGTTTTGAAGAAAAAAACGGTAAGAAAATAACTTTTTACAAAGCCGACCATAGATTTCAAAATGTTTGGGTCGGTCGCAAAGGGCAATACAACATCTTTTGTTGTAAGGCCGAGTGTTAAACAAGGATAAGTGCCTTACCACAGTACACTAGAGCATCGACCTGGTTTCGAACCTGGAACTCCCTAACCTTTTGACAAGGCCTCGTGACTCTGGCTATTTTCCACCGCAATCAGCGGCTGAGATGAACATTGAGACCCGGGGTGAACGCGCGATCGAGTGGCGGCTGCGGTACTCGCTCTGGCGTTCACTCGGTTTCGCGATTAGTCTCTTTTTAGTCGCTCGGCGTCTATCAGACATGTTGCCTTGTTTAAAGGCTAGGAACTCCCTGGTCACGAGTTAACCATACTACCACTCATCATTCGTGCCCTTAGGAAGCTCCGAAACGGTCAGCAGAAAACTCTTGATAATAATAACAAAAATGATAATAATAATAATAATGAAATAATTTATTTCCACAAAAGTAAAATTGTAAAAAAATGATAAACGTACAGTAAAATGATAGGGAGGGATAACAAAACAGAAAGTGTAAATACTTATGTAGGTTATCCCCTTTAGCACTATAGGGACTGTTAGATTTGCACGACAACAACGTGGACTTCTACCTGTGACATCCTTTTAAAGCACTGCCAGTGCCTTAAAAGGACGTTACACGTAGCAGTCCATGCAAATCTAAAAGTCCCTACTATTGAACTGATGAACAACAAGCTGCAACTTACGCAGGAACAACTATTGCAGATCCAGGATTTTTTTTCGCTCTGTCCTTCACTATCTTTCTCTCTCTTTCTCTGTTAAATCAAACACTAGCTGTTACAGAACATGTTTTTATCATTTGTCGAAATCAAGCATAAACTTGCAGACACCTGAAATTGAGAGACTGCCTACTGAATAAGTACATCTTGTCAAATCTGCCTTTTAATTTCCCTCGGAATAGGCCTATGGACAATGAGATAAGACTAAGACAAAGAATCCCGAGAAATACAATGTCGTTACCATAGTGCATATACCATATCAAACATGTTCGAGTTTTGCAATTGTTTCAATATTATTATACACTGCTAGCATGGATACGACGGTGGGGGGCACTATTTCCTTTCTATACTCTGTATATAAACTGTTTTCAACTCTTACAGTACGAATAGTTAAGTTGTTTAGATTATCCTGCGAATCCGTCGCTGGATGTGATCATAAAGGTCAGGGGCGGCGATTTCTTTTTATAACGGGGGGGGGGGGGGGCGAGATGCGAGAGACGAGGGAGCAGTGGTGCAATTAGCAAAAACGTTTGGGGGAGGGGGGGGGTAGAAAAAAAATCTGCATCACCACCACTTTTACATGTTACATGCAGGCCCCGCGGAACGTTTTTCAAAGTGTGGGGGGGGGGGGGCTAAAGTATTTACGATCAGGTAGAGCAAAACGGGCGAACAAGTGGAGCGTAAATTGAAGTAGGGTCCAGGGCCAAAGCTTCGGCGCGGGTCAAGGGGTAAGACCCATGAAGCTCAGGGGTTTTAGGCATTTAATTAAGGTCAGATGAGCATCCAATGGCGGAGCCCCCGGAAGCTCAAGGATTTAGGCATTTAATTACGGTCAGATGAGTACATTCTTATACCTTATTTGAGACACTGGCATGCAGGTCACTATTTGGAGTGGGGTCCAGGGTGCGGAGCCCCCAGAAACTCAGAAGTTTTAGGCATTAAATTACTATCAAATGAGAATCCAGGCCTTAGGGCACTTAATTGGGTCCAGGGGGCAGAGCCCCTGGAAGCTCAGTGGGTTTAGGCATTTAATAACGATAAGATGAGCATCCAGGGGCGGAGCCCCCGGAAGGTCAGAGGTTTTAGGCATTTAATAACGGTCAGATGATCAACCAGGGGTCTGTCTTAGGGCCTTGGTGGGGTCCAGGGGCAGAGCCCCCGGAAGTTCAGGGAAAATCATGACATCATGCAATATTTTGGGGCTGGGGTTGCCCCCAAGCCCGCTATCAGTACGCAAGGGCGAGGGAGCATAGTGAACGAGAGGGGTGAAGGTGACGGAAGTGAATACCCCCTCATAGGTTTTTGAAGTTTCGGTTGTATTACAAAATTACATTCTTTAGGAAAACTATAGTATGGAAACAAGCAATATACTTTTTTCACACTTCACTTTTTTCCTTTTTTACTTGTACATTTTAAAAGATATTATGGGAGGCGAACATAGCTCCCGAGCGAGAAGATTCTTGCTGTACATTTGTGTGTGCATTTTTTCAAATTTTCAGGGGGGACGACCCCCCCCCCCCAAACAAATTGAGGGAGGGAGGCTCTGTTGTTTAGAATTGGTAACCTGGACGACGAGCGAATATGACGTTAGCACATCGATACTTTATTGGCTATTGAAACTGCATTTGAGTGGTTTTCTGGAAACCTATGTGATCCTGCTCTTTTTTTCCTTCCAATTAGGCCTTCCTCCCTTTGTTACGTCAGGGAGCGCTGAGTAGCCCAGTGGATAGCTTCAGTGTAGAAAGAGGTGCAGTAATCAATATGACATCAGGTTTGTCTAGCATATCTGAAAACACTACAGAAGGACATGCTGGACATAGAGAGAGTAAGGTAAACATCTACTCGGTCTTACTTTCTCCTTTGAACCCGACCTTTAAGTGTAAGATCACCTTTCATACAGGAAACTGAAGCTTCTTTGGATATTATACCCGTTTTAAAACAAAACCGGTGTCTGATTTAAATGTTGGTATTATTTCCTCTAAAGGTTATGTCCTAAAATTTCTTACACTCTTATATTGAGAAGTCAATGTTTTAGTTAACAAAGCTTTTATTTGTCAAGCCCAAAATTGGTTGTCTGAAGTAGGCCTATATTATAAATTATATCCGTATAAATCGCGTTCACATAGCTTACGGAGTAACAGGGCAGTGTGCTTCTAAACCTATCTTCCACCGATACATAAATCAAAAGTTACACTTGGAGATAACGCTTTCAGTTGTGCTGCTCCAAACCTTTGGACCAACCATCCATTTGATATAAGGAGAGAGTTGTCTGTTTACTGTCTTCGAGGCTTTTAATCAAGTCTTCTCAATAGATACTGCATGCAAACGAATTGTTATGAGGTACATGCATTATGTTCTAATATCTGACAATGTAATTTTTGTTTGTTCAATTGTTTTTTGTTCCAAAAAAATGTGCAATAAGACACGATAGAAACGTTATTATGATTATGAAACTGACACTAAAACTCTCTCTCTCTCTCTCTTTTCTCTTTCTCTCACGCCTACCCCTCGCTCTCTCCCTCTTCTACATCCACATCACAGGCTGCCCTTAACATGTTCACCAAAAGCCTTAGTCTACTACTGGAAGGAGATAAGATCCTAGTCGTAAGCCAGAACCCTGGGTACGTTAAGACTGACGGGGGAGGCCCCGGCGCCAAGATCACTCCTCAGGAATCCGTAACCGTCATGCTGAAGATATTTTCTCTTCTTTCCGAGGAATACACAGGGAGTTTCCTGGCACACAGAATTCCATTGCAAAAGTGTAAATTTTGAACATTCCAACAGTATCTGTTATTTTGTTTTCATTTATTTTTAGGCAAAGGGGTGTTATCTGATATAAGACACTAAACTCGTGAGGAATGAACACAAGTACGGCTCGTTCAGAAATGGCGCGTTAACCCACCGCAACAAAAACCGCCGCATGTTATAGTACGTGCACATGAATGTCAACTGCGCACAACAAAGATCCTTCAAGTTTCAACTGAGCTCTGTCATTGTTTGTGTTGTAACATACAGAAATAGGAAGCATACTATTACACGTTACGTCATAAAAACAGTTGACTGCTTCAAAGCTGAACGAGGTTTTAGGTCAGTGGTACATGGGGCGTCATTTACCTGACACATCTGACGCGATACTGCGTCATCGATTGGAGCTGCCCCATTCGACACTCCATATGAAAGTGATATTGTCCCCAAAGTCAATCATGTGATTAAAATGCCGCCATAACACTTATACACATATCGCATTGCTAAAAAATTAATAAAACACAATATAAAAAATCACCTTAACATCAATTTCAATACCCTATTGTATTTCTGTACCATAGAAGTCATGTTCAAACATTGAATTAGTTGACGCACAAGACATTTGATATTGCTTGGACTTGATTTTCGAAAGTAGTCGCTGCCGTTTTGTTTTTGTTTAGTTTGTTACCCCCCCCCCCCCCCCCCCCACACCGTCATTAGCCTTTATTTCATTTCACTGTAAATATGTTGAAAATACATTGGTTAACCAGAAGTATAAAGCATTACCCTACCTTAGAAGTTTTTGTTTGAAATACTTTTTTTTGTTCCACTGTTTGACTGTTGATACCTTGCCCGGTTTGTGATAGTCCAGAATCTGGCCTATTTAATTTTGTTCTCCACAAAACCAACGTAACGCTTTTGCTACCAGCCGATGATGGCGTTATCATTAAATTAGGCTGGGCTGGTGAGCATAATTATGAGTTTGTTGATAACGCCATCTTCGACGGCTTGCATCAAGTGTGTAGGAAATTATAAAGGACCGGGCAGATTCTGGACTAGGTTTGTGACGATCACTCGGGTTATTATGATATAAGTACTTTCGAAGAACACACCTTTATGATCTACGAAATGTTAAATTACCTGACCACATATTTCGTTGAAATAGCTTTATAAAGTATGAACAGAAATGGCATTTGACGCAGTTGTTAAAGGAAACCGAACCCAAGAAATAACTTTACTCATTCTGAGATATTTATTATATGATTGCCCATTTATCTATAAGATTCCCCACCAAATTGTATGAGAGAGAGGTATAAAGCAAGAATAATGTAAATTTTCTCAGCACGACATGGGCATCGCCATTTTATTGATTACGTGACGTACTATGCGAAGTCGTTTAGCATGTTAATGTATTCAAATTCATGGATGCTTCCTTCCCAGACGTGTGTGGTGATGAAGCATTTCATTCACCTGCTATTATTCTTTGTACTACAATTGCCAGAACGCAAATTACATAAATAAGTTGGTGCTCTTCTAGGGTAAAGGTTTCTCATAAATGAAAAAGATTTGTCAACTGCTATAGTGTATTATTTATAAATAAATTTACTTACAATTGTTTCCCTGTTATTTATTTTTCACCAAATACAATTTCTATCTTCTCAGTTTAAATTTACCTCATTAAAAAGTAAAGGTTTCGTTATTGATTAACAAATTATTTCCGACTAAAGCTTAGTGCATGATACATGTACAACTTCAACTGGTACGTCACATTTTTAAGAAAATGGCTGCGCCGATGTCATGCTATGAAGGCATCACATCATGCCAGGAATATCTTCATTTATATATCTCTTGTAAATTTATGCAAGGAATATCATACATCAAAGGGCAGGAATACATCTCATTTTAGAATACCTACACTTCTTTTGGGGGGTTAGGTTTCCTTTAACAAAAGTAATGCAAATAGTCTGTGAGAAGAGACGAAACACTAAAGAATCATACATCATTCCAGGTGCCTTCATAAAGGCCTATTCTATCTGAGTGGCCGGATCTCAACCCCCCCCCCTTGGGGCACTACTATATACTCAAAATAATACAGCAGAGGGGGGGGGGGGGGGGGGGGCTAGAGTGGCGGAAAACTCTTCAATTCGTAACCCATGATGATCTTTCCATTTCGAGGTCCAATGATAATTTGCTATATAGCAAATTATCATTGGACCTCGAAATGGAAAGATCATCATGGGTTACGAATTGAAGAGTTTTCCGCCACTCTAGCCCCCCCCCCCCCCCTCTGCTGTGTAAGTGTGTGTGTGCGTGTGTGTGCGTGTGAGTGTGTGTGTGTGTGTCTCTCTCCCTCTCTCTCTCTCTCTCTTTCTCTCTCTATATATATACACACACTGTATATATTTCATTAAACACAAAGTTATATTTGTCAAAACAAAACAGAAACAAGGTAGCATAATTATATCTGATAGAAACTGCCCTTTAACGTTTAAGCATTCCCCTTACATTACTCGATCACGATTGCAAAGATTTTCGAGAAATGACCTTTTTTAGCGCCTGGCTGTACATCCGATAGAAATCATGTTCGGATTACATTTTATGTCACTGTAATTTCCACACGTTTCAAGGAAAATTGGGCAAAACTTTTACTAATTGCCTTTCAGGAAGTCTTTACGATTGTGTTAAATTTACATTAAGTTGAATAAATGTGATTGCAGGATCGGTTTAAGATTCGAAACGTTGAAGATTTTTGACAGTTACTTGGATTGAATATAGGATATTTTATACTGCGTTGTTCTACACATATTTATAGGCCCATCCTAAAGAAATACAGCTTCTAGTCACGAGTTGCTAGCCCGTGTAGAAGAAAGAGCTCATAGCTTGGAACCCGTTTCACAAAGCTTTTTTTCAATGACAAATGACAAATATCAGTGACAAATCTGCTGATAACCAATCAGAAGCAAGGAGTTCAGTAGCTTATAACAACAACTGTCATTTGTCACTGATGACAAGTTTTGTGAAACACCCCCTGGTGATGACTTGACTCTTTAGCAGAGATCATAGCATATTGAGATTCTAGTTTCATATTCTTTATCATAAAATAACTTATTGTCTTGCAGTTCAAGCCCTTTTGTTGGTCTCACCACAACATGAATAACGAAGAAAGAAACTTCACCTCCCCCACCTTTTAGGAGTGAAACCGAAATGAAATGATTATGGCACGATTCAAAAGACCGTGAATGGTTGTGGCTTTGAAACTGTTTTCAAGCTCTTAACCCCCCCCCCCCCTATCCCTCACTTCAGAAACATCTGGATCCGACTTCGCAGCATTACATTTTGGGTAATAACATCTATTTCTATAGTTAGTGATTTTAATTTATTCTACATATTACTTCCTCAGCTGAAGAATTAGTAATCTATTCGAGATTAACATCGTGTCACTTGGATTTGCCACGAAGTTGTTTGAATATCATCACATTTGAGGAAGGGGGTGAGATGATAAAATGTCTCATCTCAAACTCTGATTAGCAGCCATCTACATGCAATTTTCACGGACGAGAACATGACTGTGTAGACATCTCTTTTTCCAACTTTATGCAAACATTAAGCGACGTGCAAGAAGCATCAACACAATGCCTTTGACGATGGATAACAGGTGCATCAAGAGATTCCTCTTGGCATGTTTGGTACTGCCTCAGGTTGCCCTGGCTTCGGCTTCGGGAATAGCTAAGGAGCCGCTCTGTGATGATGAAAGTACGACAAGAACGTCAGAATGTAAGCAATGGGATAATCGAGTGTAGATTGTGTTTATAGGAAATACTTATTTCAATGAAGATTTTTGCCACTAACGAGGAACGTTAAAGGTAAAGACCAGTTCTGGTCATGCGATTGCATTTTGAAAGAAACTTTGTGGAATCGATCAGAAAAGGTTGATCATCCAGCATATAAAGATTGGTGTGTATTGCCAGTGGCGGATCCAGGGGGGGGGGGGGGGGGGGGGGTGGGGGGGGGGGGGGGGGGGGGGGTGCAAATTGATTTTTTTTTTGAGGATCAAAAAAAAAAAAATTGCTCACTACTCACTACCCCCCCCCCCCCCCCCCCCCCCTCCCCCCCTTACTGAGCGAATTTTTTGGCCGGCGCGTTTTTCAAATTTTCGGGAGCAAAAAAAAAAAAAAAAAAAAAAAAAAAAAAAAAAAATTGTGCTCTGTACCACCCCCCCCCCCCTCCCCCCCTGAGCGACTTTTCGGCCGGCGCAATTTTCAAATTTTCGGGAGCAAAAAAAAAAAAAAAAAGTTGGGCCCCCTCCCTTAAGAAATCCTGGATCCGCGCCTGTGTACTGCAAGGTTCTGGAATCATCAAAATGAAATTTGGCACAATCTTGGTAAAAGATACAAGCCCTGTACACAGAAAGATGTATATGGGACTACCCCATATATAAATCCAGTCCGGATAGATGTAATAATTTACAAAATATATCGATTAGTAGGCGGTTTCCCGGCAAAATGTGTATCATCACGTATTAGTAAAAACATATTCTTTCCAATGATTGGTATTAAGAGCTTCCATTTTTTTTTGAGAGGGGGCAAATTGAATTTTTTTTGAGGATCACAAAAAAAAAAAAATTGCTCACTACTCACTACCCCCCCCCCCCCCCCTTACTGAGCGAAAATTTTTTGGCCGGCGCGTTTTTCAAATTTTCGGGAGCAAAAAAAAAAAAAAAAAAAATGTGCTCTGTACCACCCCCCCCCCCCCCCCTCCCCCCCTGAGCGACTTTTCGGCCGGCGCGATTTTCAAATTTTCGGGAGCAAAAAAAAAAAAAAAGTTGGGCCCCCTCCCTTAAGAAATCCTGGATCCGCGCCTGTGTACTGCAAGGTTCTGGAATCATCAAAATTAAATTTGGCACAATCTTGGTAAAAGATACAAGCCCTGTACACAGAAAGATGTATATGGGACTACCCCATATATAAATCCAGTCCGGATAGATGTAATAATTTACAAAATATATCGATTAGTAGGCGGTTTCCCGGCAAAATGTGTATCATCACGTATTAGTAAAAACATATTCTTTCCAATGATTGGTATTAAGAGCTTCCATTTTTTTTTGAGAGGGGGCAAATTGAATTTTTTTTTGAGGATCACAAAAAAAAAAATTGCTCACTACTCACTACCCCCCCCCCCCCCCCCCCCCCCCCCCCCCTTACTGAGCGAATTTTTTTTGGCCGGCGCGTTTTTCAAATTTTCGGGAGCAAAAAAAAAAAAAAAAAAAAAAAAAAAAAAATTGTGCTCTGTACCCCCCCCCCCCCTTCCCCCCCTGAGCGACTTTTCGGCCGGCGCGATTTTCAAATTTTCGGGAGCAAAAAAAAAAAAAAGTTGGGCCCCCTCCCTTAAGAAATCCTGGATCCGCGCCTGTGTACTGCAAGGTTCTGGAATCATCAAAATGAAATTTGGCACAATCTTGGTAAAAGATACAAGCCCTGTACACAGAAAGATGTATATGGGACTACCCCATATATAAATCCAGTCCGGATAGATGTAATAATTTACAAAATATATCGATTAGTAGGCGGTTTCCCGGCAAAATGTGTATCATCACGTATTAGTAAAAACATATTCTTTCCAATGATTGGTATTAAGAGCTTCCATTTTTTTTTGAGAGGGGGCATTTCCAAAGCTGGTCTTTAGCTTGAAAGTAATGATTGATGCTACTACTACTTCTACTACTACTACTACTACTACTACTACTACTACTGCTACCACTGATACTACTACTACTAATATTAACAATAATAATGATAACAATGATAATAGTATAAAAATGATAAGACTTATACTAAAACTATAATGATAATAATAATGATAACAATAATGAGTAGTAGTAGTAGTAGTAGTAGTAGTAGTAGTAGTAGTAGTATTTGATAACAGTAATAATAATGATGATAAATATAATTACAATAATATTGGTTATGATAATGTTGATGATAATAATGATAAAAATAATAATAACATAATAATCATAATGGTAATATCAATTATAGCTGTAGTGATAATATTTATGACGATAACAAGTTCCAATACCTCAAATATTTCATTTGCATTTTAGTTGATATACTCGGTAATGCCTGATGGATAATAGTCTATGTTATTAGACTTAAAGTATGATGATTTTTTTTCCCTCTTTAATATGAATGTGTACTTATGTTAGTTATCAATTTAACTATATATGAATAATGACATTTAGAAAAGGGTACAATAGTACAAACGTAGATATAAAGAACCTTATTTTTAATGTGCAAAAACATACACACGAATGAATTCAAATATTATGTTTAGGTATAACCTACACGATACTGAATTGTAAGCATTGTGCAAGAAGTGCTCAAGATTATGGGTATGTTTTTCGTTTTAAAGTGCCTGTTCAAAGAAAATCACAAATATGACAAATAACGTATCAGTAGAAACTGGTAAGCTAGCAGATGGCGAGGGTACAAGTTTTAGGTCAACTACATATCGGGTGATATATACAAACACAAATGAAACCACCTCCATACAATCTGGGATATGCGAGAAATTCACTAGAAAAATAATCATGTTTTAATGACGTCACATCATTATGGACCAATCCTGCCGAAGCAGGCGAAATCCCATATTAAAAGAATGAACATAATTGCAATGCTATTAATTTCTCAATTATAATGAGTTCAGTGTGATGGAGTATTACACCATTCACAAAAGGATATGAAATCGATTCTGATGACTTAATTATTGTGTTTGCTCATTAACCCCTAGCCTGTGTATTTACAATCAAAGAAACCACACTTCCAAATTTAAAAAACCTCGGAATGATAACAGGGACGGCATTTTTTCCCTCTTGAAATGCTGAAAAACCGGGGTGTATATGCAGCTGAAAATACAATGGCGTCTTATTTTGTTTAAAAGCGACGGATTCCTTTATTTTTACTCGCTGCATTTTTCATCAAAAAACCATGCACGGGGTTAAGAGTTGGGCATCAAATTGGACATTTAGCCTGACGTGAAGTGAGAAAAAATAAATGAAGAGAAGTTGACAAAACAGGCACTAAAAATGTGTGAGATGTCATGGGACATCGTCTGCTTGTGCACATCATGATCAACATGTGACGTCACACATCTCAGCAGCGATCGGAGAGCTTTTCAGGTGCTATGCCGGGGCTGTATTTAAGCGTCTTGTAATTGTTAAAATCATTACTTCGAATGTTTCCAAACATTGAATTGTGTTTACCTTGCCCAATCAAAGTTTCTCCTTTGCAATAATGGCAATAAAGTTAGTTTTTTAAATCAATGATCCTTCTCTTAACTTTTTTTAAATCTTCATGCGCTAAAACAAAATAGCAGACCATATATATCCCTCTATTTCTCTCTCTCTTGCTCTCTCTCTCTCTCTCTCTCTCTTTCTCTTTATCTCTATATTTTCCCCACCCCCTCCCCCTCTCTCAATCACTCTCTCTCTCTCTAAACCTATCTCTTAATATTCTCCCTCATCCCGTCTCTCTCTCACTTATAATAGTGTGAGAAGACAGTTAGACGACATGTTGTCAATTTTATTTTGTGTGGGTGGTATTTGCTTATCTAATTTACTAGTAAAATGGGCTACAGAGGGCTAATGACAAAACGATAGGACAAATGTAAGAACAAGGGAGGGAGAAGGGTAAAGCGACGAAGAACATTTGAATTTTATGAAAGGTATTCTTTATCAGTTTCGTAGAAATTAATCAATCTTGATGTCCGCAATTATTTTAAAGAATGCATTCATCGTGTTCATACCGCCGTAAAACAACACACCAAAAAAGAAACTGAATGTGAAACGTAAGTTAATTACGTCCGTTTACATTGACATTCTAATCAGAATTAACCTATAATTATTGACAAGACAGCTCCTAAATCATCGTAGCTTGATTTCAGATTTTTTATTTAAAAAGAAAAAAAGTAAGCAGCGCACCATTCGCAACATTTTCTTCTCCAGATATGATGTACCTCGGTTGTTATAACCGCACGTGCTTTCAGAGTGTGACTCGCTCAACCGTTATGGATATTGACGACTGTGTCGGTGGCTGCAGAAACGACAGCTATCAATTCGCAGCACTGTCCCACGGAGATACATGTTATTGCGGGAGGTTTACCTGCAACACGAATGACACAGAATGTGACAATAAATGTGGAGTACTATGCAGTGGTGTCCAAACCAGCATGGGGCTCAAGACATGCGGCGGAATAGGATTTATTCAAGTGTATACGCACGGTAAGATTTTCATGATTTTCTTAAATTTCGCGATGTACGCGGTATATCAAATTTATGTGGTAGTGATACGATTTTTAAAAATTCGTAATGTTTTTTCATTATCATAGTATATTACTTGGCAAGGTTGCCCATGTTCAATATAAATCACCACAGCTTGTTCAGTTATAGTGCGGTAAACCGCCGCAATAAATAAAAGGCCACGGTTTTGGTAATTATTGATTGTGTAATGAATAACACCTGCTAGGAACAAACGACTTGCGGGGATGCACTAAGCTATTTGCACTGAGAAATGTGAATCTTATTACACTTTACATCTTCATAACAAAAATATGTATGTTTTTTTCCGCGTCATAATTATCTGAACGGGCCTTTAACTCATATCCTGCCATGAGACTGCTAGCGCGCTATTGTTATAGTGCTCTGTGCACGCGAGCGCGCTATCGATTGATTGCTACGTTCATGCATGCTAGCGAGCCATGGCTACTCTGCTTTGTGCACGCTAGCAAGCATATGTAATAACAGTCATTGTTCATGCCCATTGCACCGTGCTGAGTGCTTTTGCAGCGCTATTGAAAGTACCATCGCGTGCATCAGATTATCGGCTTTGGATTACGCGTCTTTGTATACAACAGTCAGATTGGATTTCCTCGAGTAATTTAGCGATTTGTTTTTTGTAAAGATTTAAATAACACGCACTTGAACCAACCCTAAAATTAACTTGGCACACAGGAGATTTGTGGCTGGCACAATAGAGATTAGCACTGACTGAAATACCTGTTATTTGTGTCTTTTCATTCCAGTTGTGCCTTTCAAGGAAATCCCTGGTACAGGTATGTAAAAACAAATTACTTACAACATTTAAGTTTCAGAAAGATTAATTTGTGTAGCATGTATGAACCTTCCAAAATAATTGTTTGAAACCAGTCTGTATTAGTTTGGCCAGGGGGATTAGACCTCCCTACAAGCTCAGTGACAGGTGGTTATCTCATTAAAATCAGCTCCCAATTAACATGAGAAAAAGGGGATCATGGGGGACCAACATATGCACCAATAAGGCATTGTTATCTATATAGAGGGCGCAAGTCGCTATAAGTAGTACAGTGGGGCTTTGAGTGTTGAGTCTTATAAACTTTTCTTCGTTGATATCTTTTAGGTCATCTTGCCATCTATCTTGCACTTCCAGTTATTGTTACGTTGTTCATCATCGTTTTGGGCGCCACCACGGTTTCTATTTTGTCATGGTTTGAGGTAAGACCGCCATCAACGGCAGTACCTCGATCTCTCAACCGCTGCGAATCAGCAGTCCATCAATATTCAACGTACGTTATCAATGATTCGAGGGGAGCGAGCGACTACCAAGAAACGAATTTGCAATCCATAGCGCAAGACGGATGCCAATACGTCGGTTACCAGACGACAGCGGAAGGACACCGGGGCCCTGTGGCTGGGGCATCAGATCATGGCGCATGCGGAGATCGAAAAGCAGGGAGGGTTAAACATGCAACTTTCGACACATTTGAAGGCATTCCGGATGAATATTCCGACACCGACAAAGGTCAATGCTCTCACGAATACGCGTATCCTAGTAACCCGATATTTGAATCGCACACGTGTCGGAGGTCGGAGGTCGAAGGTCGGAGGGCACAGGTTGACAATGACGGATATTATGTCATGAAATCTTTGAAATAAGATATTGGGTCCATTCTTCAATTTTTTTAAATTTAAATACACGCCTATTAAAATCGCCATAATTTTAATTTTCTAAGGCACATTTAATTTTCAAATCCTTGTCATATTTTGCCCATTTTACAGTATAATCAACATCATTGTACCAAATCTTATTCTCACCCATGTACATATCTGAGCAATGGCATATTCTAAATGTAATCTTATGGCCGGCACAGTAAACAAAATAATACAAGCAGGAAGAAAATGACAGGGGAAATAAGAGGGTAAAAGTTACTTTGCATGAAAATTCTTCTAAAATCTCAATAATTTTGTAAAAAGTAGTACATGAATAAGCGTAGTTTAGTACGCCGTTGGGTCCTGGCCAATGAGGTACACCGTCTATCTTGTCTTCATATACTTTGTATATGCTTCTACAAAATCAATACAATACGAACCTGCAACACTTACATTCACAATTATAGTCCCCTTAATCCCCCCCCCCCCCTACCCTGTCGGGCCCCCTCAGTTGCCTTCCCTAACCTCGCCGTATACACAACGACCCCCGTATCCCCACCACCTCCACACTACTCCACCTAAGTCATTACACAGGTCATGTCATCACAGTGCCCTCTGACCAATTCCTGTGAATGTAAAAGTATTCGGTTACGCGTGGGGAATCCCAATGTGACGTCACACCCGCTAAAACTGAACAATGATGAAGTAATCGGCTCGACCAATGGTGCAATGCAGGCACGCCTGGTGTATACGTGTATACCGTGTATTATGATGGATAAAGACAGTGTCGTGGTGGCATATACTCTTTTCATGCTACGCACTCGACAACTCGTGTACAAAACTCGACTTTTCGTTTCACACACTGCTGCCGTTTGCTGATCAGTAGGCCCACGTACCAGGACGTTTGTAGCCCTGTACCCTCGTTCATTCGAATACAACATCAAATAAGAGTAGCAATCTCGACGCCATGATCATGTCAGGAGTTTATTCCAATTTTGTTTTGTTTGCCTGCCTCCTCGCTTGTGTGTCGGGCTCAGAACTGGTTAGGAACAAGAGACAATGGCCCTATTCCTATGGTACCAATGGTAAGATACATATAACGGTTACCAACACCGTTACTTATATTTTCCTCACATTGTTAAAATATACTTTATTTCTTTGATGTTTTGTTTTTGTTTGATGTTATATTTGTATTTGTCAACATAATAGAACGATATATACAAACTAAGTACTTATATATTTTATCAATGAAAGTCAAAATACATATTATTGTAATAATTAATACTATAAATCATAGTAATCAGGTAAATGATTATACCTTACAAAAACGGTTTGTCGACAAACCTCATTTGTGAATTGGGGCCACAACGTCTGAGACTAATTTTTGTGTAAAGTCATTACTATACTTCTTAACCTCAAACCTGTTTCTGAATACTATGAGGACTACAGCAGAGCTTGTATATTCAGGGAACGATCGTACATAAGAAAAAGTAAACGCGCACCGACAAGTGCCATAAGAGTCGATAGGTCATGCCCTCATGTCTCTCAGATTACCCAAACAGATTGGACTCGTTATCATGGCTGATTCATAAAGACTTTAAAATGCATCATCACAATAACCGTAATGGTTTTCCCAACATAATATTGAAAATGAGCACACTTTGGCTAAATAATGTCCTGTACGTGTATGTATCTTAGTAAAGAAGTGAAAAGCAGTTTTGTTATTCGCAGAAAATGGCGTCTTTCATATGAGACAAAGAAATACATCCTAACCTACAAGAAACTGAAAATGTATGAAAATATCAAAGTAAGATTTTTAAAAAAAAACTAGAGTACATCGAGAGTGGTAAACAGTGAACAACTGATTTATACCTACCTTTACGAAGGTTTGCAAATATTCAGGTACGTCAACAATTGTTATGTCCGGATTTATGTTCTTGGAGAATGTAACATCTTACAACTTACATCTAAAGGTATTCAACAAAAGCTCTGATTCAACCAGTCCACCTTTCATTCTTGAGTTACGAAGGAGACACCAATTTGACAAGGGTTGTGAATAATTTAGGTGTTAATTGTATGTTGTGCAGGAATATCAGGTTCAGATGTTCAGGGTAATAATAGCTTTACATAGGGACATATCGTGTAGAATGGGGAAAGGAAGAGTGGAATAGTCATTTCGAAATATCATCATTATTGTTGTTGTTGTTGTCAATGATACTAACATCATCAACATTACCATCATTTGTTTCATTAACTTCATGCGTGCAAAGCATTTTGATCTTCACAATGGTATTGTTGCTGTTTTGCTATGCCATCCCTTCGATGCGATTGTCGTCACACATGTTCCACATATGCGCATACCGACATTCGTGTAGCACAAATTGACTCAGTCTGAAAATGTCCAATTGTTTCCATTATAGTTATAATATCATAATCACATGAAGACTTCCGATGAACATATTCAAGCGATGATTAACAGAGGTCATAGTATAGAGTTCACTTTCTGCCTATTATGGAGCTTATAAAGCTTATGAAGGAGGTTGAAAACTGGTAGGCCTTCCGACATTCTTCCAACAACTACAAATTCGTTTCCCTGGCCAACCACGTTCTTCTAACCTGCCGCAGAGGGCCTAAATTCAATTTCTGCCAATAACAATTATCATTGTGTGTATTGTTGTTGTTGTTACTGTTGTTGTTGTTGTTGTCATCATTAGCTTGTTTTCCACTATAATTAAGCATGACAGGTACACATTTTATATAACTGTTTCATGTAGTCTAAGAATTACCTTTAAAGGCTTGTCGGCCTATCTTATTACCACTAAATTATGAGTAGAACATGTTTCTTTTGAACCTTGGTTATATATATATATATATATATATATATATATTTACATATGTTGATTGTATTTCTTTGTTTTTAACCCAACGTGGAAGTAAACTTGAATTGAATTGAACATCATCTTCATCACTATAATTATTGCTATCGTCATTATCTATACTCCTTCCAGACCGCCCCTACGGCTCCTGCGGGAAACCCGCCACGCCCATCCCTCATGGTGGTATCAAGCTCTTCCCCACCACTGACCTCTACGATCCCTATGACAATTCATGTTACTCGTGCCAAATCGGGTGCCCTTCTTGCGAACCCAAATTCTACTGCAACGACGGGTTCGAGAAGAAGGGTGTCTTTCACCTGGACTGTGTTCAAAATACCACCACTCATGGGTACGAGTGGGAAGGAAGCATTCCCACTTGTGAAGAAATAAAAACTTCAAGCATCTTTATTTATGGTATGGAGTAATTACGCCCCTATTTTCCAATTTTCCTGCTCGCATTTATTTTTCGCGCATTTGCCCAGATTGTATTCAAGTTATGTATTGCATTTCTCTTAGACAATTTTTGTCAACATTTACAATCGGTTTACCGTTTTCCTAAATGGTATTGATATTGATCCAAATTTTTCATCATTATTATTTTTGTGTAATTATGTAATAATTAGTATGTTGTTAATCACACACACACACACACACACACACACTCCCCGGAAAGGGAGAGAGAGAGTGGTATAGTAACAGAAAGAGGTGGAGAGAGGGGGGGGGGCGAAAATCCTTTTGCAAGAGGTAGGTAGCTATTATTACATTTTAGCCTGTAACAGATATCAATCTGTTTTGGTTACCTGAAATCATACAAACGGGAAATAGACATTGTAGGGTTTTGTGAAATATCAACGGGTAGGCCCCGCCACCCCCCCCCCCCCAACACACACACATACACATGCATACAGGCACGCACACATACACATTTAATCGTCTGCGAGGTGCGCATCTATACTATGTAGATTAAGAATAAAATCCTGGGTCGTGGGTTGAAAGGTAAAATGATTCTCCCCCCCCCCCCCCACAGACACCCCCTTCAATTTCCGTCCCCCTTTCTCTCTCTATCTCCCTTTCTCTTTCTTCCTTCCAACATGTTATTCTAATTCTCGCTGCTCTCATATAAAACGATGGTTGTGTTGTAAATTCTCTCCTAACCTCTCTCTCTCTTTGTGTATTGATTTTTGCAGCTACTCCGGCCCTCGTTTTACCAGGAACGCTCATGTGTGCCGTCATATATGCAGCAATAAGGCAAGTTTTAATCGTCTTTCGAATGTGACGCCTGTGATAACGAATATAACATGGAAACTGTCATGTTATCTTTTTATGTTGACATGCCATGCCATTAATATTTCACGTTCAAGTTTTAATCAGTCTCCGTTCTCTCTCTCTCTCTCTCTCTCTCTCTCTCTATAGGTATATCTACCTCTCACTCTCTCATGCTCTCTCTCTCTCTCTCTCTATCTCTTTCTCTCTTACACACCCACTTTTGTCCCCCCCCCCCCCTCTCTATATATATATATCTACTTAAATATGTATGTCTGTAGGTATGTATATATATATATATATATATATATATATATATATATATATATATATATTCATGTATCTTATCCTTTATTTATCTCTCTTCTAGTAAATTGTATACGTTCTATATATCTGTTTTTTTCTATATCGACCTATCCTACTTTTGAAATTTATCTGAAATGTGGCAGATCGCTGGCAAATGTACGTAACTATACTCATGGTGGCATCGGGAGTATATCAAAATGGGAATACTCTTTCCCGTTCCTTCCTTCATATCGTTCAGAAAATACAGATAAGTTTTTTTTTTAATGATAATAACAATGAGTAGGCCCCTGCGAATAAGTATAGCAGGAACTATAGCACGCAGAGGTGCGTGGTCGAGTAGATACGTCACCGGACTGTGGATCACAGGGTCCGCGGTTCAAGTCCGGCCGCGGCACTAGTGTCCTTTGGCAATACATTGATCTACTCTTGCCTCAGTCAACCCAGGTGATGTAAATGGAAACGTGGCAGGAATTAATTCCTTGCAATGCTAGAGCGCCGTAATGGCAAACGTGCTAAAGCCATGGGAATGATTGGGATCGCCAGGAGTGTCGAGTCTGACAGGTATAAGCTGTAAAATAAAACTATTAATATATACAAAAACCCAATATTAGTATTATTAAGCAGAAATGGGATTTAAATTATTGGAAAATCTTGCATTCACACGCAATAAACAGACTGTTATACAACTTGAATATCATAATATTTAAACATTGGATAACTATTGTGTTTAAGTTAGTTGACTGAAAGTAATGTATAATGTATGTACCTGTTTGCAAAGCAGAAGCAATCGGAGGAGAAATCCTACCACACGAACTGCCTCGAGGACCGGTCTTCGCTCAACAACTGTCTACGTCACCCCGTCATCTCGGGCCCCTGGCGGACGTACATTTAATGTGCCGAGGGCCCCATTTCGTGGGCCAGGCTACTCCCGGTTTGACGACAGTAACGTGAATGTTCGCCAGGACGAGACGGTATCCAGCAGGTACGACACAGAAGGTGTGTATGTATGGGCGCTGGAGGGTTTATATAAACGGGGCACAACCTCACCGTGCCTCCCCCCTCCAAACCAATGTTGCATACTGTAAATTCACTTGTACAAAATCTGCCTACCTTTTCAAATTTCTTTTGCAAAAATTACATCAGAAGTTTAATAACAATCCCACCCCCCTCCCTTTCCCTTTTGGAAAGTCCGGGATTCGCTATTATCTCCCCCCCCCCCCTTCTCGCTCTCACTCTCTCTCTCTCTCTTTCTATTTTCCTGGCTTGTTTGAGGGAGAAAGAGAGAGTGTGGGTCGATATGTGTCAATATAGCGTGAGAGGCACTTTCTCGTAAAAGTTGATATTAATCATAGACATTTCTTAATGATTTTTTCTAATATTTTTTAAAGAATATAAAAATAGTATTTGTCACATAAAAAGTAGTAGGCCACTTTCTCAATGCAACCAAATGTAATGCGGAAGTCTTTGTTAGCCGCTCCGTTACAAATGATGTCTTTCACCTATTACGTATAATTGTAGTTCCTAAATAGTCAGAATGCGAATAGCCTACATTCCGTGTTACGAGGTCGGACAAGCCACAATAGGGACTTTAAGATGTGCACGTCGACAGCTTTGACTGCCACGTGTGACGTCATTTTAAGGCACTGCGCATGTGTTACGTCGTCTCAGTCGGCGATCGAGAATGCGTCAACCTTGATTTTTCCTAAATCTAGTACATACATACTTACATATTGATATTTATATAGCGCCTTTACATGCTCAATGTACTAGTATGCCGCGTCCGCATAAAATATACAGTTCCTCAGGTAGACAAAGGAACATCCCTTCCCTGCTATTATGTACAAATGTGTAGAACAGGTGTCACATGCATATTCACCTGTTCTACACATTTTTACATAATAGCAGTGAAGGGATGTTCCTTTGTCTACCTGAGGAACTGTATATTTTGTCCGCTTTCTTTGTCCGTCATGTTCATAGTGTTACTTCCTGCATGCATGTATATCGTCGAGTGCAATCTAAAAGATTTTTAATTGTAGTCAACATGGGCAGTTAAGTACGTTGACACGCATGATCAGTCGGCGTTCATGGTGTTCTCGTCCACTAAATCTAAAAGTCCCTTATGTTTGTCCTACCTTGTACTCGTAGCAGTAATGTATGTAATTCGCATTCTGACTGTTACAAAAAATCATTTGTAACAGGTGAATGAAATCATTTTAACGTGCCACTTAACCAATTTCCATGCGTTAACTTTGATTACATTACGAAAATGGTCAATTAAAATCATTTACTCTCTCTCTCTCTATCGCTCTCTCTCTCTCTCTCTATCTTTCTCTCTCTCTCTCTCTCTTTTTTTCTCTCTCTCCTTCTCTACTTTCTTCTAATTTCCTTATATCTTTTCTCCTCGTATCTTTTCTCCTCGTATCTTTTCTCCTCTACTTATCTTTTTGGTGACATTGTAATGCCTTTTATTAAAGTGATTCGATGTTTTACCGCTGTTAATTTCAATTATTACATTGTGTTTTTTTTGTTTTTTGTTTTTTGTTTTTTGCTTTTTACTACTTCTAATGCTTATTCATTGTTTATGTTAGTTTAATACTGTTTTTTACCTTTTCTTGTGAGCTTTGATTTATATTTCCGTGTACTATATTTTAATTCTGTTCAGGACCATGACGTAAGACATCGCCCTCTTACTCATTTGATTTTTTCCATTCGTTTTTATCTGTTATTTTTCAGTACCGGCAGTGGAGGCGGTCTCCTCCGATGCCCCTCCATCCTATACGCAGGCACTTCAGATAGAAACTGCGGATCCTGCTAGCACAGCTATAAACCCAACAACAACTGCAACTCTCCTGCTGCAATAATTGCTACTACTTAGATTACGGGGCTGAACTATACGGTCTTCATCTTTTCTTTCTCCTTTTTTTTTTTTTTGGGGGGGGGGGTGGGATGTAAAAAGGTCAAACATTATGATCTACAGGGAAACTACTGAACCGTTACCGGAAAATTGTTACAAGACTGCACGGAAATGGCTCATGCTAAGTGGAAGAACTAACCAGAAAAAGACATAATTGTATCAATATCCTACTTTTTTGTGTGAAGCTATAATGTTTACCTTATATTGAGACCTTAGAGACCGTATAGAGCAAATTTGTTTTGCAATTTTTCTTTGTCGCTAGGTAATATATACTGTATTGTTTTACTGTACCATTTCTGGTCCCCATGGAAGACCAGCGGCATCATACCGATACCGCTGAATATGGGCTATCCAGCCGTTAATTTAATTTTGTAATACGTGATTATATTTGTTTTTGTTTTACTGAATGCATGGTGTCTTTTTTAAACGGAAAATAGAACAAAGAAACAAACAAAGACAAAAGGTTTATTCACGAAGAAATTGTGTGTCTTTCTGAAAATGTTTTCTCTTTTGAATACAGCTTTGGACCGATTATGATATCACAAGCCTGTCTAGTCTTATATTCATGTATAATGTAACGTTTGAAATGGGACAGTGATGGAAGTAACCTTGAAAGGTCAATGGTCTTTGCTACTCTCTCACATCCACTTCAACACAGCGTATGCATCTTTGCTCATTTTTACCGTTTGTCCATTGTCAGCACGATGCTGTTGATAAATCGTTTATTGCTGCATACATTGTATTTTTAAGAGATGTGAAATAAAAGATTTTGAAATTGAATTTCAATTTTAATATTGCCGAAGGATTTCCTTCAGGAAGATTTTGTCATTTTCCTATCATTTTGATGAATTTAGAAATCCATATTATTCTACTGTTACTGCTTTATCTGAAATGTCATCGTCTAAACTTTTGTTCACACACACTTTAATGCCAGAGGCTAGATCAAAAGTAACAAAGAAAAACAAATCTTCTTTTTGTGGTATTCTTTTCGAATTTTGCTTTTCTGAGTTTAGGAGAAAATTTCATATCATCGTGAAATTAAATAGGCCCAACGGAAATGCCATACTTGACCTGAAAAATTGTAAGAAGGAAATCATATCATGATGTGTAGAATTCTACAACTAGCTATATATCTTTTTACGTGATGTATATATTAACGTACGAAAAAGGCTGTTATCATTATTCCATGTGCTTGTACATTTTGCTTCCAAAATTGTTATAAACAATGTATGTAATTTGTCACCCTCTTCTACCATTTTGTTTGTTGTATAATGAAAAACGATGTATACATGTCAATGATGCATTTTTTTAAAATAATAAAGTCTAACGGTCATATAGCCACCTCTCTATACGTGTTACCTATCTATAGTGGCTATACATTTTGTATCCCTCCATAAAAAAACACAATGCGTGTTGTAGAACCTATATAATTGGCCTACCTACAGTACCTACAGTATTGATTACAGCACAGTACCTTGAATCTCCTTCATAGAAACTATAGCCTAACTATACATGTAGTAGGTAAATTCTGATAAAGAAAACAAAATACGAATAAAACAGGATATGACGGAAACTGCAATATCCTGGTATTTCTGGACATCCTCCAATTTTGTTTACCAATGTTGATAAAGAAAAATCAATTATGACAGGATATGATGAAATTCAGGATATACCGGTACTTCTTTATTTCGGATGTATTAACCCTTTTAGGCCTAGTACAATTTAAAATTAGATAAAACCTCATTTAAAGGCATCTCCAACCATAAAAGCAAGTACTGTATTAAAAAGGAAATCAAGAACATCAAAGAAGCAGACTGATGAAAGTTTGAAAAACATCGGACCCCCCGCCCCCCCCCTCCCCCCAAAACCCCCCCCCCCCCCAAAAAAAATGTATGGTTTTTCTAAATCTGTAATCCCTATAGCGTATGGGCACTTCAAATTGGCTGAATCGGTAATGTCACTGTTATGTAGTGCCTGACAACTTTCCCATTTGTTCCAACACACAAACAAACTTAAATGTCAATTTTTCGGGACTGTCTTTTTTCTGTTTAGAGAACCTAATAATGAAATGATATCCACAATATTTTTTGACAAATTCCCTATAAAGGGAAAAGGGGCATCGGAGAAGAAACAAACATGAATAATATTTGTGTAGGGCTAACGCGAGAATTATTAACGACTACTTCGCAATCCAGTAACCAAATAGCCGATTCGAGATTCACGCAGCTTAAGTGATCTAATATATAATTAAAAAAACACTGGTAATTTTCGGTTTACAAACGAAATTACTTCAAAGGATGGAATGCCCTTTAAAAAAAAATTTGAATCAGAGTGTATAAAATCCCTATCGTTTTTTGTTCTTTCTCTTTGATATATAACTCCGTATCTCTTGAACCAATTTTCCTTGTTTTTGAGGGGGTGGGGGATCGAGGGGGTTGATATTTTTCTTAAATAATTAATTAGACTTAGATTTACCATAAATTTAAAGGTATTACAAAGTTATGGGGTCATGAATTTGGTTCAAATTAACATATTGGAAGCATATGCGTTCCTACAATATGCATTGATCGTTGTTGCGGTTGAAATCGGGTCTAAAGTTATGAATTAGTACACAATAAACTCTTAATGTTGTATAGCTCCCTCTCAAGGTCAAGATATTAATTTAGCTATGAAACAATGTTTCTTGACTAAAATCGACCGAATAGCTATTTCCGTTTGGAAATTATATATCCCAACTACATATTCTGAGATTTTTATGGTCGCAACTACCATTGTACGGCCATGGGCGCTATTTGAAATTTATCAAAATTTACCGGAACATTTATTGCAATGAAGATGTTGCCACTAACGAGGGACGTTTAAGGTAAAGACCAGTTCTGGTCATGCGATTGCATTTTGAAAGAAACGTTGTGGAATCGATCAGAAAAGGTTGATCATCTAGCATATAAGTATTAGTGTGTACTGTAAGGTTCTGGAATCTTCTATGATAAGAAATTTGGCCCAGTCTTGGTAAAAATTCAAGCACTGTATACAGAAAGATGTATATGGGACTACCCTATATCTATCCAGTCCGGATAGATGAAATAATTTACCAAAAATATCAATTAGTAGGCGGTTTCCCGGCAAAATGTGTATCATCACGTACTAGTAAAAACATATTCTTTCAAATGATTGGTATTAAGAGCTTCCATTTTTTTGAGAGGGGGCGTTTCCAAAGCTGGTCTTTACCTTGAGAGTAATGATTGATACTATTACTACTGCTACAACTGATACTACTAATAATAATATTAACAATAATAATAATAATAATAATGATAACAATGATAATAATAATAATAAAAATAATAATACTTATACTAAAACTATAATGATAATAACAATAATGAGTAGTAAAAGTAGTAGTAGTAGTAGTAGTAGTAGTAGTAGTAGTAGTATTTGATAACAGTAATAATAATGATGATAAATATAATTACAATAATATTGTTTATGATAATGTTGATGATAATAATGATAAAAATAATAATAACATAATAATCATAATGGTAATATCAATTATAGCTGTAGTGATAATATTTATGACGATAACAAGTTCCAATACCTCAAATGTTTCAATTGCATTTTAATTGATGAAGTCGGTAATTCCTGATGGATAATAGTCTATGTTATTAGACTAAAAGTATGATTATTTTTTTTTATCAATTTAACTATATATGAATAATGAAATTTAGAAAAGGGTACAATAGAACAAACGTAGATTTAAAGAACTTTATTTTTAATGTGCAACAACATACACACGAATGAATTCAAATATTATGTTTAGATATACGCGATACTGAATTGTAAGCATTGTGCAAGAAGTGTTCAAGATTGCGGGTAAGTTTTTCGTTTTAAAGTGCCTGTTCAAAGAAAATACAAATATGGCAAATAACGTATCACTGGAAACTGGTAAGCTAACAGATGGCGAGGGTACAAGTTTTAGGTCAACTACATATACAAATAAAAAAGAAACCACCTCCATACAATCTGGGATAGGCGAGAGATTCATTAGAAAAATAACAATGTTTTAATGACGTCACATCATTATGAATCAATCCTGCCGAAGCAGGCGAAATCCCATAAAGAATAAACATAATTGCAATGCTATTAATTTCTCAATTATAATGAGTTTATTGTATATAAATGTGATGGAATATTACACCATTCAAAAAGGGATATGAAATCAATTTTGATGACTAAATTCTTTTGTTTGTAAATACACAGGAAAGGGGTTAATGAGCAATCAAAGAAACCGCACTTTCAAATTTAAAAACTCCCGGAATGATAGCATGGGCGGCATTAGTTCCCTCTTGAAATGCTGAAAAACCGGGATGTTTATGCAGCTGAAAATACAATGGCGTCTTATTCTGTTTACAAGCGACGGATCCTTTATTTATTAGCGATGGATTTTTCATCAAAATGATACCATGCGCGGGGTTAAAGAGTAAACATTTAGCCTGACGGTAGTAAAGTAAGAGAAATAAGTAAAGAGAAGATGACAAAAACAGGCAATTAAAATGTGTGAGATGTCATGGGACATCGTCTGCTCGTGCAAATCATGTTCAACATGTGACATCACACACCTCAGCAGCGTTCGGAGAGCCTTTCAGGTGCTATGCCAGTGCTGAATTTAAGCGTTTTGTAATTGATAAGCCCGCCCCCCCCCCCCACTCCAGGAACGGAGGGGCCGCGTGTGTGTTCCAAAAATCTCCGGCTCCTAACAAAGCAAAAGATCTACCCGTATGCTGAAAGGGGGGAGGGGTCCTGAAAAGGCTCGTATAACAAAAGAAGATCTACCCATATTGACTTTACACACCGGACTTATGCTGAAAAGGGGGGAGGGGGTGCTGGGAACACGCATATGCTTACTCTAAATAACACTGAGTGGGGAGGGGGGGGGGGGCTGGGTTAAAAAGTAACTTCGAATGTTTCCAAAAATTGAATTATGATAACCTTGCCCAATCAAAATTTCACCTTTGCAATAATGACAAAAAAATTATTTTTAAAAATCAATGATCCTAATCTTTAAAGAGTAACTTTTCTTAAATCTTCATGCGCTAAAGCAAAATAGCAGACCATATATACCTCTCTATTTTGTTTTCTCTCTCTTTCCCTCTCTCCCTTTTCCTTATCTCTATATTTCCCCCAACCCCCCCCCCTCTCTCTCTCTCTCTCTAAACCTATCTCTTTATATTTGTCCCTCATCCCGCCTCTCTCTCACTTCGAATGGTGAAATAAGACATTTAGACGACATTTGTCAATTTTATTTTGTATGGGTGGTATTTGCCTATCTAATTTACTAGTAAACTGGGCTACAGAGGGCTAAAGACAAGAGGAAGGACAATTTAAGCACAGTGGAGGTAGAGAGGTAGGCGACGAAGAACATATTGTATTTCGAAAAGGCATTCTTTAGTAGTTTCGCAGATATTATATTCGCAGACAGTGCTGCAAATCCACGGAGATACATGTTATTGCGGGAGGTTTACCTGCAACACGAATGACACAGAATGTGACAATAAATATGGAGTACTATGCAGTGGTGTCCAAACCAGCATGGGGCTCAAGACATGCGGCGGAATAGGATTTATTCAAGTGTATACGCACGGTAAGATTTTCATTATTTTCTTATATCTCGCAATGTACGCAATATATCAAGTTTATGTGGTAGTGACACAATTTTTAAAAATTCGTAATGTTTTTTTCATTATGATCATAGTACATTACTTGGCAAGGTTGACCATGTCGAATATAAATCACCACAGCTTGTTCAGTTATAGTGCGGTAAACCGCCGCAATAAATAAAAAGGCCACGGGTTTTGTTAATCTTTAATGAATAGCAACTGCTAACAACAAACGACTTGCGGGGATGCACTAAGCTCTTTGCACTGAGAAATGTGAATCCTATTACACTTCACATCATCATAACAAAAATATGTATGTTTTTTCCGCGTCATAAATATCTGAACGAGCCTTTAAAGGTACAATTTGTTTTATGATCCATCTGTAAACTCGGGTATTAATTTAGAATGTAAGACAACCCTCTTACACAGATATTCAAAATAATTATCAACGTTTTGTAGACAAAGTCAAACCTGATTCCCCAAAATATTCTAATGAATTTTTTTTTTCTTCATTTTTTGGACCCTCCAACAGGCCATTTATTGAAAATTAATCTCAAGATAACATATCTGAACACATGTTCCAATGAACATCATATAATATTTCATAATAAGATATACATAACAAATATCAACAATAATACCGTATATACAGAACATACATGTAGATTTGGGAAAGAAAAACAAAAATTAAATAATAATGCAACATCATGACTGAAAAGGATGTGGGAAATTCAATATACTCCTATTAAAGGATCAGAATCCTCTCAAAATTTATCCATTTTTTATCGAATTTGTCAGTTTTGTTAGCAAATATACTAACTTGCCTCTCATTTGTGTAACTATTCTTGATATATTGTTTTATTGTCCGAAAGGACGGTACAGACTTTTGTATTCGAGAAAAATATAATTGTTGTTTAGTCCAAATTATTATACAGTTTAAAGCATCATTTCTTTTTTCAATGAAACCTAACAAAACATGTATTAAGGACAGTTTTATTCTACAGCGTGTTTAGTTAACCAGTCAGTCAAACAACTCCAAATCGATTTGGTCACGTTACAGGAGTAAAAAAAGTGTACCATATCTTCTTCTTCTCTTCCACAAAGGGAACAGTTCTTATTTAAAATTATGTTAATTTTCACAAGATCTTTATTTAAATATAGTATCTTATTCAAAAGTCTGTACTGAAAGTACCGAACTGTTTTATGCGTTGTACAGCGAAACATAACCCTGAAATAATATTGCATAAATTTATCATCAAATAATACACCATCTGCATGCCATCTATTACATAATTTATTCAAATGTTCATTCTTTTCTTTTAACATAATTTGATAAATATGTCTACATCCTTTTTCATCTTTCAACAAGCATGAAATATATGCAGGGCACAATGGTCAATTTACCTTCATATTACAACTTTCCAATTGGGACTTGTATTTGCATTTAATTATTTGACAGAGTGCATAATAATGAAGAAACTGTATTTTGATTGAAAACTTTTTTTCACACTCTTCTCTTGCTAAGATGTGTCCTTGATCATCTAATAAATCTTTTAAAAATCGAATACCTTTATCACACCATTCTTTTAAAAATATACCCTTTCCTCCAATGTTATTCTCAGAATTATACCAAATAGAAATAGCTTTCCAAAAAGGAGTAGTAGTACATTAAACCTGGCGGACAAAATAAGCTAGTATTTGGAAAAGTTCTTTCCAAAAACAGTTTCTTAGCATAAATGATAATTTAGTGAAATATATATCACCTTTACCCCATTCCAATGATGATGAATTAATTCGTCGTTTTCATACCGCTGGAACAAAAACACACACATATATATATATATATATATATATATGTATATATATATATATATATATATATATATATATATATATAACTGCGGGAGACTTACATGCTTTTAGGAAATTCACAGCATCGTTATCAAGTGGACATCCCGTTAATGACCGAAAACTGGCGCAAGATACAAGCGGCCCACAAGACCGGCGCGGCGGCCCGAACAACTAAAGATTACACCCTTTTGAACCCAAATGGAAAAGTGTCAGATAGCCAGAGACCGACATCGTATTAACTTTCAAACGAAGACTCTTCATCACGTGTTGTCCTATAATTGATCCAGTTTTGTTTCATGATTTCACTTAAGTCCGAAGTACAAACTTAAGTTGCGTTCGTGAATGTTGTGAGTTTTGGAAGACTGACTGAAATACCTGTTATCTGTCTCTTTTCATTCCAGTTTTGCCTTTCAAGGAAATCCCAGGTACAGGTATGTAAAAACAAATTACTTACAACATTTAAGTTTCAGAAAGATTGATTTGTTTAGCATGTATGAACCTTCCAAAATAATTGTTTGAAGCCCGTCTGTATTAGTTTGGCCAGGGGGATTAGACCTCCCTGCAAGCTCACCGACAGGTGGTTATCTCATCAAATCAGCTCCCAATTAACATGAGAAAAAGGGGATCATGGGGGACCAACACATGCACTAATTAGGCATTGTGTGCTATATAGAGGGCGCAAGTCGCTATAAGTAGTACAGTTGGGCTTTGAGTGTAGAGTCTTATAAAATTTTCTCCGTTGATATCTTTCAGGTCCTTATCATCTTGCCATGTATCTTGCGCTTCCAGTTCTTGGCACGTTGTTCATTATCGTTTTGGGCGCCATCACGGTTTTTATTTTGTCATGTCTTGAGGTAAGACCGCCATCAACGGCAGTACCTCGATCTCTCAACCGCAGTGACTCAGCAGTCCATCAATATTCAACGTACATTATCGATGATTCGAGGGGAGTGAGCGACTATCACGAAATAAATGTGCAATCCATAGCGCAACACGGATACCAATACGTCGGTTACCAGACGACGGCGGAAGGACACCGGGGCCCTGTGGCTGGGGCATCAGATCATGGCGCATGCGGAGATCATAAAGCAGGGAGGGTTAAACATGCGACTAATTTCGACACATTTGAAGGCATTCCGGATGAATATTCCCACACTGACGAAGTTCAATGCGGCTCTCACGAATATGCGTATCCTAACCAGATATATGAATCGCACACGTGTCGGAGGTCGGAGGTCGAAGGTCGGAGGGCACAGGTTGACGATGACGGATATTATGTCATGAAATCTTTGAAATAAGATATTGGGTCCATTTTTCAATTTTTTAAAATCTAAATACACGCCTATTAAAATTGCCATAATTTTCATTTCTAAGGCACATTTATTTTTTCAAATCCTGGTCATATTTTGCCCATTTTGCAGTATTATCAACATCATTGTACCAAATTTTATTCTCACCCATGTACATATCTGAGCAATTGCATATTCTAAATGTAATCCTATGGCCGGCACAGTGAACAAAATAATACAAGCAGAAAGGAACGCAAAGGGGAAAATAAGAGGGTCAAAGTAATACACTTTGCAGGGCAATTCCTCTAAAATCTCAATAATTTGGTTAAATGTAGTACATGAATAAGTGTAGTTTATTTCGCCGTTGGGTCCTGGATTTAATGAGGTCTACTGCCTATAATGTCTTCATATAATTTACATACAATAGGAACCTGCAACACTTACGTTCACAAGCACAGTCCTCTTAGGCTCCCCCCCCCCCCCCTCCCCCCCCCCCCCCCCCCCCCCTCTCCCCTCTCGGCCCCCTCGACCCCCGTATCCCCATCACCCCCACACTCCTCCACCTAAGCCATTACACAGGTCATGTCATCACAGTGCCCTCTGACCAATTCCTGTGAATGTGAAAGTATTCGGTTACGCGGGGGAAATCCCACTGTGACGTCACACCCGCTAAAACTGAACAATGATGAAGTAATCGGCTCGACTAATCGTGCAATGCAGGCACGCCTTGTGTATACATGTATACCGTGCAGACAGTCGTGGTGGCATATACTCACTAGTCTTTTCTTGCTACGCACTCGACAACTCGTGTACAACACTCGACTTTTCGTTTCATACACTGCTGCCTCTTGCTGATCAGTAGGCCTACCAGGACGTTAATAGCCCTATATCCTCTTTCATTCGAATACAACATCATAAAAGAGTAGCAATCTCGACGCCATGATCATGTCAGGAGTTTATTCCAATTTTGTTCTGTTTGCCTGCCTCCTCGCTTGTGTGTCGGGCTCAGAACTGGTCAGGAACAAGAGACAATGGCCCTATTCCTATGATACCAATGGTAAGATACAGATAATGGTTACTAACACCGTTACTTATATATTCCTCACATTATTAAAATACTTTATTTCCATTTGAATTTGTTTGATGTTATATTTGCATTTGTCAACATAATAGAATGATATATACAAACTGAGTACATATTTATTTTATCAACGAAAGTCAAAATACATATTATTGTTAAAATAATTTCATACTATAAATCTAATTAATCAGGTAAATAATTATACTTTTCAAAAACGGTTTGTCGGCAAACCTCCTTTGTGAATTAGGGCCACAACGTATGGGACTACTTTTCGTGTAAAGTTACTACTATACAGTGCGTCCCAAAACAAACTATACTTTTTTTAAAAGGCTACCGAATAAAAAAATATATGATTCTGGGGGATAAGTTGTATATGTTTGGAAAGCTCATAGACTCAACTTTCATATGACAAAAAAAAAATCCGAAAATAATTCATGCTTGGATGAGCACTGCTCACTTTTGTAAAGGGTATGACAATTAGGTTGCGCAGGAATTAGCCTTCCAATTTGTGAGAGGTAAATTCTTTGGAGCTTACACAATTGAGGGTGATATGATACATTCATGATGTGCTGAGTGAATGTCATGGTTTATTAAACCAAACTTTTATGCATGAGTGAACAGGAATTGCATTTTTTTTTTATTGTAGCATTGTAACTTTCCCTAGTAGACTCAGTGGTGTGTTCATGGGAGTCAGGATGGGGTGACGGTACATGTTGTAATTTCCATTTTACAAACTGTTATTTTTTTACATCTGTGACTTTGAATAAAAACCTTCACCCCACATTTCAGTTACCATGTTACCTGAAGAATAGGTAGCCGACATCTTGGACATTCCTTTTTTCAACAAACCGTATTTGAATATTAAATTGACATCATCCCTACCTGGGTATTAAGTAAATCAATGAGATGTTCAACTAATCTTACAATAATTGAAATGTGGGGTGAAGGTTTTTATTCAAAGTCACAGATGTAAAAAACTAAGAGTGTGTAACAGTGTGTAACATGGAAATGACACATACGTAAATGGATGAAAAATAAATTAAGAGCTGTAAGTTGTTACTCAGTCCTCATTCATCTTGGACTGACAACCAAAGATTGAGAGGCCTCAGTTTTCACCACAGCAGCGATTTACCTCTCACAAATTGGAAGGCTAATTTCTGCGCAACTTAATTTCCATACTCTTTACAAAATTGAGCAGTGCTCACCCAAGCATGAAACATTATCGGATGTGTTGGTATTATATAAAATTTGAGTTCATGAGCTTTCCATACATATAACAAATTACCCCCAGAATCATATATTTTGTATTCGGCAGCCATTTCAAAAGTGTATAGTTTTTGGGGGGACGCACGGTACTTCTTAGGTTCCATGACACATGCTCCGCCGACGATTGCTCCGCCGACATTTACTCCGCAAAACGCGACAATTGCTCCGCGACATTTGCTCCGCGACATTTGCTCCGACGTCAAATGCTCCGCCGACAGGTGCTCCGCCGACAGTTGCTCCGCCGACAGTTGCTCCGCCGACAATTGCTCCGCCGACAGATGCTCCGCCGACAATTGCTCCGCCGACAATTGCTCCGCCGACAATTGCTCCGCCGTCAATTGCTCCGCAAAACGCGACAATTGCTCCGCCGACATTTGCTCCGCCGACATTTGCTCCGCCTGAAGCGACACTTGCTCCGCCGACATTTGCTCCGCCGACATTTGCTCCGCCGACATTTGCTCCCTCCGTCAATTGCTCCGACGACATTTGCTCCGCCGACAATTGCTCCGCCGACAATTGCTCCGTCGACAATTGCTCCGCCGACAATTGCTCCGCCTGAAGCGACAATTGCTCCAGTGACATTTGCTCCGTCGACAATTGCTCCGCCGACAATTGCTCCACCGTCAATTGCTCCGCAAAACGCGACATTTGCTCCGCCGACAATTGCTCCGACGACATTTGCTCCGCATGAAGCGACACTTGCTCCGGTGACATTTGCTCCGACGACATTTGCTCCGCCCAAAAAGTGTCCCATTAAATACAAATGCTACTAGTACTACGACAAATGCTTCACCGACAATATTTTTTTTTCACGGGTTGTTTTTGTTTGTTTCTTTTTTTCTTCATTTTCTGAATGCATTTCATGAAATTATGTAAATGAAATGAAATGAATGAATGTTGATAATGTGGGAGGAAAAAGCAGTTGCCTAAAAGTCATTTCGAATATACTGAAATAACTTTCCATCTATCACTGTACGTCCCACATAATGTACACTAAACACTCATTACATGTCATGGGAAGTTTTTTTTTTTTTTAAAGTAGAGCAGCAAGCCACATTCCCCAATACGCGCATACCTCCTAGTTAATTTCAAACAGCTCATCAATATGTAAGACCTGAAATTACCTCAATGAAAGAAGACTAATAACATGAGAGGAAAGAAAAGAGCAAAAAAGACAACCGTTTTTTGCTATTCCCCATAATGTTTGATTTAAAAAAATAAAAAATAAAATTATAGCTCCTTACGCAAGTTCTCCGGCGAAAGATAATTACTCCGCTCAAAATCTGTTTCATGTATTACTCATTAGCTGATCCAAAGCTCAAGGCTATCTCTCTCTCTCTCTCTCTCTTTCTCTCTCTCCCATGCTCCTCCTTTTCCTGTTTACACCGTTTTCTTGTCTTCTTTGCTCTTTTCTTTCCTCTCATGCTATTACTCTTCTTTCATTTCCATCACTTCTTCTCTGCTCCCCCTCTCGAGTTCTATTTCTCTCGTGAAATTGAAACGTAAAGTAATACAATCATGTAGTACATTCTTGTTTAGAATAGTATTTTCAATAATATCCAGTCCATTTTCTAAAGGTTTCTTTCCTTTAGTTAAGTGTATGTAGCTTTAATATATATATATGTTAGTGTGCAAAACACTCCGTTTCATTCGAGTACTTTGTTTTCACTAAATAATTTAAGGGACTCACGAAGCAACCGGAAGAAGAGCAATTAATTGGCTTATCATGAAGAACTAACATCAAACTGCAACAAAATGATTTGTATAAATGTGAATAAGCAGAAAGGCTGCCATCTCATTTTCCCGTCTGAATGGGTTCTCTTCCTTACGTATATAAGTGCCCTTATTTTCTAAACTTTTTTTTTTTTTTTATATTTGTGTGTTTATTAAATTTTCAATCATATAAAAATTACATATTTACAAGTCATTGGTAATAATTAGACAAACAAAAAAACCAATATGTATAAGAACAACTAACAATAATGAAAGGACAAGAAAGTTATAAAAAAAAACATTATAGTAAAAAAAAAATACACTGTACACATATAAATCATATTTTGAACTCCAGTGCATAAAGGGGAGTGAGGGGGCACAGGAATAAAAGTTAAATCAACATGAGTATCATAAGTCAAATCGCCATTTCTTAAAATGCGAAACGAGCTTGTTCCTTTTTTTTCGCTGAGAAATATTCAATATCTTTTTGTTTCTTTATAAAACTCTTAAAAAGATCAACACTTGGTAAATCCCCCTTACTTATTTTCTAAACTTCCATGATGACCTATTACATTGTATAATGCTTTACCTAGTAAGATGCATTGATCGAGGTAATTTCAGGTATTACATATTGATGAGCTACTTGAAATTAACTAGGAGGTATGCGCGTATTGGGGAATGTGGCTTGCTGCTCTACTTTTTTTTAAAAACTTCCCACGACATGTAATGAGTGTTTAGTATACATTATATGGGACGTACAGTGATAGATGGAAAGTTATTTCAGTATATTCGAAATGACTTTTAGGTAACTCCTTTTTCCTCCCACTTCATCAACATTCATTCATTTCATTTCATCTACATTATTTCAAGAAATGCATTCAGAAAATGAAGAAGAAAAAAAAAAACGAAAAAAATAGGTGTAAAGAAAATATTGTCGGCGAAGCATTTGTCGTAGTACTAGTAGCATTTGTAGTTTATGGGACACTTTTTGGGCGGAGCAAATGTCGTCGGAGCAAATGTCGGCGGAGCAATTGTCGCTTCAGGCGGAGCAATTGTCGGCGGAGCAATTGTCGGCGGAGCAAATGTCGGCGGAGCAATTGTCGCTTCAGGCGGAGCAATTGTCGGCGGAGCAATTGTCGGCGGAGCAAATGTCGGCGGAGCAATTGTCGCTTCAGGCGGAGCAATTGTCGCGGAGCAATTGTCGGCGGAGCAAATGTCGGCGGAGCAAGTGTCGCTTCAGGCGGAGCAAATGTCGGCGGAGCAAATGTCGGCGGAGCAATTGTCGCGTTTTGCGGAGCAATTGACGGCGGAGCAATTGTCGGCGGAGCAATTGTCGGCGGAGCAATTGTCGGCGGAGCATCTGTCGGCGGAGCAATTGTCGGCGGAGCAACTGTCGGCGGAGCAACTGTCGGCGGAGCACCTGTCGGCGGAGCATTTGACGTCGGAGCAAATGTCGCGGAGCAAATGTCGCGGAGCAATTGTCGCGTTTTGCGGAGTAAATGTCGGCGGAGCAATCGTCGGCGGAGCATGTGTCGGGTTACCACTTCTTAACCTCAAACCCTTTCCTGAATACTATGAGGACTACAGCGGAGCTCGTATATTCAGGGAAGGATCGTTCATAAGAAAAAGTAAACACGCATCGACAAGTGTCATGAGAGTCGATAGGTCATGCCCTTATGTCTCTCAGATTACCCTAACAGATTGGACTTTTTATCATGGCTGATCATCATAATGACTTTAAAATTCATCATCACAATAACCATAATGGTTTTCCCAACAAAATATTGACAATGAGCACACTTTGGCTAAATAATGTCCTGTACTTGTTTGTATCATAGTAAAGAAGTAAAAAGCAGTTTTGTTATTCGCAGAAAATGGCGTCTTTCATATGAGACAAAGAAATACATCCTAACCTACACGAAACTGAAAATGTATGAAAATATCAGTGTAAGATTAAACAAAATTTTGTTTTACTGGAAACTAGAGTACATCGAGAGTGGTATACAGTGAACAACTAATTTATACCTACCTTTACGACAGGTACACATTTTATATAACTGTTTCATGTAGTCTATGAATTACCTTTAAAGGCTTGTCGGCCTTGTCTGCCTAAGTCACGTCTGTCGGATGGTGACGTTTAAAGGTCGGTCCCCAGGCGTAGATAATCATATCTGATTGCACTGGCGTACTGGTGGGGGGGGGCTAGGGGGGCGCCAGCCCCCCCCCCCCCCCCAAATAAAATGAAACCATTACTTATTTTTAATTCCATACAGGTGATTTATAAATGTTCGTGATAATAACATGATTTTCAACAAAATGTGCGTTTTTCCATTTCCGTTGCACACTGACACATTCGCAAATAGCCAGGAAGAGCAATGTTTTAAATAGTCACTAATAGGCATTAGTGGCCATTAACAGTAACACTAGTAGAAACCTTTCCAGAAGCTATACTGCGACAAGCACTGCCGGGAGATAACATGCTACCCACCACTCGGGCTGTGCATGCACAGATTTGCGAACGATCGTTCTATATATACGTACTTATTTATACGTATTTATTGAATTTAATGGAAATAACGAAATAATCTGTCATTGATTTAAAGAAAAATTGCCGTGTAGGTTAACGGTACAACGAATCGCCTTCTTTCTCTAATAATTTAATGAAACGTGAAAGCTTCCGCGCTACGCGCGCGCGCGGAATGAGCGAAAATGATTTTAGACAAGGATTAAGAGTAATAATTAAATGAAACGTAAAAACTTCCGCGATATGAGCGAAAATGATTTTAGACAAGGATTAAGAGTAACAATTGAATGAAACGTCAAAGGGGGACGGGGGGGGGGGGGGACTGAATTCAGACAAGGACACGCTACAATTATTAATCGTCTATTTTCTCTAATAATTGAATGAAACGTGAAAGCTTCCGCGCTACGCGCGCGCGCGGTATGAGCGAAAATGATTTTAGACAAGGATTAAGAGTAATAATTAAATGAAACGTAAAAACTTCCGCGATATGAGCGAAAATGATTTTAGACAAGGATTAAGAGTAACAATTGAATGAAACGTCAAAGGGGGACGGGGGGGGGGGGGACTGAATTCAGACAAGGACACGCTACAATTATTAATCGTCTATTTTCTCTAATAATTGAATGAAACGTGATAGCTTCCGCGCGGGGGGGGGGGACTGAATTCAGACAAGGACACGGTACAACGAATCGCCATCTTTCTCTAATAAACGTGAAAACTTCCGCGCTTCCCGCGGGAGGAGGGTGGGAACTGAGTTCAGACAATTAGGACACGATACAATGAATCATCTTCTTTCTCTAATAATTTAATGAAACGTGATAGCTTCCGCGCTTCGCGCGGGATGGGCGAAAATGAATACAGACAAGGATTAAGAATAACGTCAAAGCTTCTGCGCTTCGCGTGGGAGGGGGGGGGGGGGGGGTGGGGAAACTGAATTTAGACAAGGGCACGATACAACGAACCGTCATCTTTCTCTAATACTTTAATGAAACGTGAAAGCTTCTGCGCTTCCCGTGGGATGAGCGAAATTGAATTCGGACAAGGATTAAGAGTAATAATTTATTGAAACGTCGAAGCTTCCACGCTTCGCGCGGGAGGGGGCGAACTGAATTCAGGCAACGATTAAGAGTCGAGAACGGTACAATGAATCGTCTTCTTTCTCTAATATTTAAATGAAACGTCAAAGCTTCTGCGCTTCGCGCTGGAGGGGCGGGCGAAACAAGAAGAGTCGAGAACGGTATAACCGATCGTCTCCTTCCTCTAATAATTTAATGAAGTGTCACAGCTTCCGCGCTTTGCGCGGGAGGGGAAAAACTGAAAAATAACTTAGTTCCTGGCCCCGCGTTTATAGGCTTAAATTAGTCGACATTGGGGCATTGCACTGTTAAAACAAGTATTAAAAAACTGCGGGTTAAAATTTGTTGATTAAAAAACGCTCAACCATGGTTAAAAATGTAGTGTTGATTAAAATTTACTTTTAATCTTGCGTTGGTTAAAAACAGTGTTGATCAAAATTATTTCTTTTAACCTATGTTGGTTAATTCTAAGTCGTTGGCAAAAATTGTAACCCAGCATGGATTAAAAACAAATTTCCGACAGTAATGATAGCCCCCTTCCGGTTAAAGTTTAATCAATGTTGATTAAAGTACTGGTCACGTGACCCAACGGAACGATATCGAAGCGCGTAGCTAGCGATCGCTCGACATACAAATAAAGTACGTGCAAAGTACATGCAGTTTACGCGTGCGACAAAATTAACAATGGAGGTTGTCGCGAGGACCTGAGAAATGGGGGTTTGGACGGTCTTATCTCCGTGTTTTCAGGTAAGAAATTATTTTAATATTATCATCATCAATTCTAAGATTGTAAGGAAGAAGTGAAATAAGGTTCTTGCTCAAATCAAAAACGATTTGTATCTCCTGGGCTGTACGTAGCTCAACCAATAAGTAACATTTTACTTGCACCGTGCACCTGGCTCTCATAAGCACACACACACTCATCAGTCTGCAAGAATCTTCAACCGTGAAGGAGGCAGACCCAATTAAAGAAGGAGAAGTGTAGGCCTTTTACGGATCACCTACCCAAATTGCATGCATGAATAATAATCCTATTTTTTTAAATCTAATTGTATCTAATTGTTTAAAACAATTAAATATACAATAAGATGTCATCATAAAGTGAAACGTCTTCATGCATGCAATTTGGGTAGGTCATCCGTTACACTTACTGGCTGAGCTACAACCTACGGGCCGGGACACAAAGCGTTTTTTAATTTGAGCAAGAACCTTATTTCACTTCTTCCTTCCAATCTTAGCATTGATGATAATCATATTAAACAATTTCTTACCTGCAAACACGAGGATAAGACCTCCAAACCCCCGTAAGTTTAACCAACAGTGGTTATAACTGTAACCAACAACCCCCTTAAGTTTAACCAACATCGTGCGAATCAAAAAAGAATTAACCTACAATGGTTACAATTTTAACCAACGACCCATGCAAGTTTAACCAACATCATGTGAATCAGCCCCGAACAAAGCATAAATAACCAACAAAAGATTAAAGTTTTAATCAACAAATGGTTAAAGTTTAATCAACACCATTTTAACCAACATTGAGGAATTTTTTTTAAACCAATAATTGATTAAAATTTTTAATCAACCACAGGTTAGATTTTAATCAACAGGTTGTTGGTTAAAGTTTAACCAACGATTGTGTGATTCACCTGGTAATCCATGGTTGATTAAAATTTTAACCAACTTGATTAAAAATTGTAATACTTGTTCTAACAGTGTGGTATTAATATATTTGTCGGTAATTGGTGGCTAGTTTTGTCAGTTAGCGGTGGCCTCTACAACCCTCCCCCCCCCCTGAACGTCTAACCAATGAGAAGGCCTCTTTTTTCCAGGAAGTGCCGGTGGACATTAATGAGCCAAATGTGGTTCTCAAATTGCAAAAGATCTCTTGGGAGGGGGGGGGGGCAGGAAAAAGCAATTTTACGTCATATTACTCCAGGAAGTGTCTGAAAATGCGTCTAATGTGGTTCTAAATTGCAAATGCTTCCTACTTCAGACCCACACCCGCTCCCTCGCCGCTAAAGTCTCGCTCTGTCGCTTTATCGTTTTATATATATTTAACCCCATGCCATTTTGTGCCCCCCCCCCCGGTAAGAAATTCCTGGAACCGCCACTGTTTTCTCATACCCCTTGAGCTTCGGGGCTCTGCCCCTTGACCCCCGCCGGGGCTTTACCCCTAGACCTCACTTTGACAAACGTTCACCCCCCCCCCATTACGCCACTGTCTGATTGATACACGTCTGTACAAACCCAAAACAAACTTCTTACCACTACATTATGAGTAGGACATGTTTCTTTTGAACCTTGGTTATATATATATTTGCTCATGTTAATTGTATTTCTTAGTTTGTTTAAACCAAATGTGGAAGTAAACTTGAATTGAAATAAACATCATCATCATCATCATCATCATCAACTATAACTATTTCCTTATTCTCCTTCAGCCAACCCCTACGGCGCCTGCGGGAAACCCACCACGCCCATCCCTCATGGTGGTATCAAGCTCTTCCCCATCACTGACTTCTACGATCAAAATGACAATTCATGTAATACGTGCTATTCAAGATGCCCTTTGTGTGAACCCAAATTCTACTGCAACGACGGGTACGAGAAGAAGGGCGTCTTTCGCTTGGACTGTGTTCAAAATAGCAACACTCGTCAGTACGAATGGGAAGGAAGCATTCCTCATTGTGAAGAAATCGAAACTTCAAGCATCTTTATTTATGGTATGGAGTAATTACGCCCCTATTTTCCAATTTTCCTGCTCGCGTTTATTTTTCGCGCATTTGCCCAGATTGTATTCAAGTTATGTATTGCATTTCTCTTAGACAATTTTTGTCAACATTTACAATCGGTTTACCATTTTCCTAAATGGTATTCATATTGATCCAGATTTGTCATCATTATTGTTTTGTGTAATTATGTAATAGTTAGTATGTTGTTAATCACACACAAACACGCACACACATACACACACACCACTACACGCACACATACAGGCACGCACACATACACATTTAATCGCATGCGGGGTGCGCATATGTAGACTAAGAATAAAATCATGGGTCGTGGGTTGAAAGGTAAAATGACCCCCCCCCCCCACAGAAACACACTCCCCCTTCCATTTTCGTCCCCCTCTCTATCTCTCTATCTCTCTTTCTCTTTCTTCCTTCCAACATGTTATTCCAATTCTCGCTGCTCCCATATATTTCGTAATCAGGTGTATTGATTAGAATAAAAACGATGGTGGTGTTGTAAATTCCCCTCTCTCTCTCTCTCTTTGTGTATTATTTTTTCAGCTATTCCGGCCCTCGTTTTTCCAGGAACGCTCGTATGTTTCCTCATAAGGATAGCATTAAGGCAAGTTTTAATCGTCTTGCGAATGTGACGCCTGTGATAACGAATATAACTTGAAAACTGTCATGTTATCTTTCTATGTTGATATGCCAAGCCATTTATATTTCACGTTCAAGTTTTAATCAGTCTCCCTATCTCTCTCTCTCTCTCTCTCTCTCTATATATATATACATGTATATCTACCTCTCACTCACTCATGCTCTCTCTCTCTCTCTCTCTCTCTCACACACCCACTTTTGTCCCCCCCCCCTCTCTCTCTCTCTCTCTCTCTCTCTCTCTCTCTCTCTCTCTATATATATATCTACTTAAATATGTATGTCTGTAGATATGTAAATATATATTACTAAAGGCGTCATTAGAGGGACATTTGGAATGAAAAAAATGAGTCATTAAGTAGACATTGTCATTAGAAGGACAATATGGTGTCCTCTTAACGTTTTTTTACGTTTTATTTCTCATAGAAGGCCCAATTTGTTTAAATATCTCTCTATATATATATATATGTAATTTCACTAAAGGTGTCATTGGGGGACATTTGGAGTGAAAAAATGAGTCATTAAGTAGACATTAGGGTTAGGGTAAGGATTAGGGTTAGGGTTAGGGTTAGGGTTAGGTTTAGGTTTAGGGTTAGGTTTTAGGGTTAGGGTTAGGGTTAGGATTTTTATGATGTCCGCTTAATGTACCATGTAGGGTTATATATATATATATATATATATATATATATATATATATATATATATATATATATATATATTTATTCATCTATCTTATCCTCTATTTATCTCTCTTTTAGTATATTGTGTACGTTCTATATATCTTTCTTTTTTTATATCGACCACCCTACTTTTGATATTTATCTGAAATGTGGCAGATCGCTAGTACATGTACGTAACTATATTCATGGTAGCATCGGGAGTATATAAAAATAGGAATACTCTTTCCCGTTCCTTCCTTCAAATCGTTCAGAAAAAACAGATAATTTTTTCAAATCATAATAACAATGAGCATGCCTGTGCGAATAAGTACAGCAGGAACTATAGCACGTAGATGTGCGTGGTCGAGGGGAGACGTCACCGGACTGTGGATCACGGGGTCCGCGGTTCAAGTCCCGTCGCGGCACTAGTGTCCTTTGGCAATACATTGATGTACTGGCACAGTCAACCCAGGTGATGTAAAAGGAAACGTGGCAGGAATTAATTCCTTGAAATGCTAGAGCGCCGTAATGGCAAACGTGCTAAAGCCAGGGGAATAATTGGGAGCGCCAGGAGTGTCGAGTCTGACAGGTATAAGCTGTAAAATAAAACTATTAATATATACAAAAACCCAATATTATTATTATCTAGCAGAAACAGAATATAAACTATTGGAAATTATTTCATTCACACGCAATAAACAGACTGTTATACAACTTGAACATATTACTTTTTAAACATTGGACAACTGTTGTGTTTAAGTTAGTTATAGTTGACTGAAAATAATGTATAATTGATGTACACATGTACCTGTTTGCAAAGCAGAAGCAGTCTGAGGAGAAATGGTCCCACACGAACTGCCCCGAGGACCGGTCTTCGCTCAACAACTATCCACGTCACCCCGGCGTCCCGGGCCCCTGGCGAACGTACATTGGATATACCGAGGGTCCCATTTCATGGGCCAGCAGGCTACTCCCGGTTCGACGACAGTAACGTGAATGTTGCCCAGGACGAGACGGTATCCAGCAGGTACGACACAGAAGGTGTGTATGTATGGGCGCTTGAGGGTTTATATGAACGGGGCACACCCTCACCGTGCCTCCCCCTCATTTAAAGACCGTCAATACTACTGGGCCAGAAAGGATTACACAGCGAGGTCACATCGCATCAACTTAGCTCTTAACTAACATACGAAATAGCGGATCATGGGGGACCAACATGCACCGATTGGGGAAGTTTTCTATATAGAGGGAGCAAGTAGCTACAAGTAGGACAGTGGGGCTTTAAAACACAATGATATATTTTATACCTTCAATGCACAACCGCCCCATCCCCCCCCCCCCCCCCTCCAAACCAATGTTGCATAATGTAAATGCACACTCGTACAAAATCTGCCTAACTTTTCAAATTTCTTGCTCAAAAATTACACCAGAAGTTTAATAACAATCCCCCCTCCCTTTCCCTTTTAGAAAGTCCAAGATTTGCTATTATCTCCCCCCCCCCCCCCTTTTCCCCTTCTCTCTCTCTCCCTCTCTCTCTCTCTCTCTCTCTCTCTTTCTCTCTCTCTCTATCTCTCTCTCTCTCTATTTTCCTGGCTTGTTTGAGGGAGAAAAAGAGTGTGGGTCGATGTGTGTCAATATAGCGTGAGAGGTACTTTCTCGTAAAGTTTTAACTTAATCATAGAATTTTTTTTTCTTCTAATACTTTTTTAAAGAATATTGAAATAGTATTTTTCACATGGAGAGTTGCAAAAGGCCAGTTTCCCAATGTAATCAAATGTAATGCAGATGTCTTTCACCTGTTACGTATAATTGTAGTTCTGAAATAGTCAGAATGCAAATAGCCTACAATCTGTGTTATGAATTTGGACAAGCCACAATGGTTGTTCTACCTCGTAGCAGTAATGTATGCAACTCGCATTCTAACTTTTACAAACAATTTTTTGTAACAGATGAATGTAATTGTTTTAGCGTGCCACTCAACAAAGATTCATGCGTTAAATTTGTTTACATTACGAAAATAGTCTACTCTAGTATTACATTTATTGTCTCTCTCTCTCTCTCTGTCTCTCTGTCTCTCTGTCTCTCTCTTTCTCTCTTTCTTGCATACACGCGCACATCCTCGCCCTCTTACTCATTTATTTTTTCCATTTGTTTTTATTTGTTACTTTTCAGTCCCGGCAGTGGAGGCGGTCTCCTCCGATGCCCCTCCTCCGTCCTACACGCAGGCACTTCAGATAGAAACGGCGGATCCTGCTAGCACATCTATAAGCCCAACAACAACTGCAGTAGACTCTCCTGCTGCAATCATTGCTACTACTTAGATTACGGGGCTGAACTATACGGTCTTCAGCTTTTCTTTCTCCGTGTTTTTTTTTTTTTTTTGGAAGGGGGGGGGGAGGATGTAAAAAGGTCAAACATTATGATCTACAATGAAACTGCTGAACCGTTACCGGAAAATTGTAACAAGATTGCACGGAAATGGATCATGCTACGTGAGAGAACGAACCAGAAAAAGACATAACGGTATCATTATCCTAAATTTTTTTAGTAGGTATAATGTGAACCTTATATGACCTAAGAGACCGTAAATTTGTTTTGCAATTTTTCTTTGTCGCTTGTTAATGTATATTGTATTTTTTTACTGTACTATTTCTGGTCCCAATGTAAGACCAGCGGCATCATAATGATACCGCTGAATATGGGCTATCCAGTCGTTAATTTAATCTTGTAATTCATAATTCTATTCGTTGTTGTTTTACTGAATTAACTTTGTCTTTTTTTATACGGAAAATAAAACAAACAAAGACAAAACGTTTATTCGCGAAGAAATCGTGCTTCTTTTCCGAAAATGTCTTTTTCTTTAAAGACCGTCAATACAACTGGGCCAGAAGGGATTTAGACCACACAGCGAGGTCACTGACAGGTGGCTGTCTCATTAACTCAGCTCTCAACTAACATAAGAAAAAGAGGATCATGGGGGACCAACATGCACCGATTGGGGAAGTTTTCTATATAAAGGGAGCAAGTAGCTACAAGTAGGACAGTGGGGCTTTAATACAGCTTTAGACCGATTCTGATATCACAAGCCTGTCTAGTCTTTTATTCATGAATACTGTAGCGTTGAAATTAGGAGAGTGATGAAAGTTAATACGGGAGTAATCTTGACAGATCAATGACCTTTGCTACTCTCTCACATCCACTTCATCTCAGCGTACGCATCTTTGCTCATTTTTAACGTTTGTCTATTTTCAGCATAATGCTGTTGTTAAATTGTTTATTGCTGCATTCATGTGTATTTTAAAAAAAATGTGATATTAATTACTTTGAAATTGACTTTCAATAATGCCGAGGGATTTCCTTGAGGAAGATTTTTTTTCTATTTTCCAATCGTTTTGATGATTTAACAAATTCGTATTATTCTATTGTTACTACTTTATCTGAAATTAATCTTCTAGTCTATTTCTCCTGCACACTGAAATAATACCAGAGGCTAGATCAAAAATACAAATGCAGTGTCACTTAAATCCTTTAATTTAGCTTTTCCGGATTCAGGAGAATTGTTTGTATCATCGTGAAATTAGACAGGCTCAACGGAAATGCCATACTCGACCTGAAAATGGTATGAAGGAAATCATACCATGATATGTACAATTCTGGAATCAGCTTAATCATATCACTTTACACGATGTGTATACGTACGAATAAAGTGGTTATTATTATTCATGTGCTTGTATATTTTGTTAACGTAATTGTTTAAATAAAATGTATGTATCTTGTTACCCTCTTCTACCATTTTGTTTTTTGTTTAATGAAAAATGATGTATTTTTTATAATAATAAAGTCAAACGGTCAAATAGCCACCTCTCTATACGTGTTACCTATTTATAGTAGCTATACATTTTGTATCCCACCAGAGAGAAATGCGTGTTGTAGAACCTATATAATTGGCCTACCTGCCTACAATATTTATTACAGCACAGTAACTTCAATCTCCTTCATATAAACTATAGCCTGTAGTAGGTAAATTCTGATAAAGATAACAATACGAATAAAACAGGATATGACGGAAACTGCAATATCCTGGTATTTCTGGACATCCTCCAATTCGTTTTAATGTTGATAAAGAAAAATAAATTATGACAGGATATGATGAAATTCAGGATATACCGGTACTTCTTTATTTCGGATGTATTAACCCTTTTAGGCCTAGTACAATTTAAAAGGGGATAAAATCTCATTTAAAGGCAAATCCAACCATAAAAGCAAGTACTGTATTGAAAAGGAAATCAGGAAAACCAGAGAAGCAGACTGATGAAAGTTTGAACAACATCGGACCCCCCCCCCCCCCCCCCAAAAAAAAAAAAAAAAAAAAAAAAAATGTATGGATTTTCGAAAGCTGTAATCCCTATAGCGTATGGGCACTTCAAATTGGCTGAATCGGTAATGTCACTGTTATGTAGTGCCGGACAACTTTCCCATTTGTTCCAACACACAAAATAACTAAAATGTCAATTTTTCGGGACTGTCTTTTCTGTTTAGATAACCTTTGATGAAATGATATCCACAATATATTTTGACAAATTCCCTATAAAGGGAAAAGGGGCATCGGAGAAAAAACAAACATGAATAATATTTTTGTAGGGCTAACGCGAGAATTATTAACGACTACTTCGCAATCCAGTACTAAATAGCCGATTCGAGATTCACGCAGCTTAAGTGATCTAATATATGATTTAAAAAACACTGGTAATTTTGGTTTTACAAACGAAATTACTTCAAAGGATGGATTGCCCTTTAAAAGATGATTTGAATCAGAGTGTATGAAATCCATTATTTATTTTGTTTCCTCTTTGATATATAACTCCGTATCTCTTGAACCAATTTTCCTTGTTTTGGAGGAGGTGGGGGATCGAGGGGGTTGATATTTTTCTTAAATAATTAATTAGACTTAGATTTACCCTAAATTAAAATGTGAAGGGTGAATACGTATAACAATAAATTTAAAAGTTATTTCATAAATTTCTGCCCATCTTTCTTTGTCTGTCTTTCTGTCTCTTTCTATCTCTCTCTCTCTCTCTCTCTCTCTCTCTCGATTTCTCTCTCTCTCTCTCTCTCTCTTTCTCTGTGGGTATGTATGTACGTGTGTGTGTGTTTGCGTGTTCGTGTGCGTGTGTGTGTGTGTGTGTTTGTATTACACATTTGGAGAAATGAAACAAAATTGCTTTTTAAAAAAATGTGTTTGGGCGTGTTCGAACGTGTGTTTGAGACGCAAGCATAATCGTGTTTTTTTTTCTTTTGCAAATACAAAATAAAAAGGTTATACCAAGCAGTTTATTTATCTTTTTCCCATAGAAAATATTTATGTTCCCTTTGTCCTGTATTCACTTATTAAAGGACAGGGCGCTACACAACATAATTTTTGTGTGAGATAATGAAAAACTGAGTGTCATATTTAGAAGAATATACAATTTAAATGACAAAATCATCTTTGTTTGATGAAAATCAGTTCAGAGACGGCTGAAATATCCATAAATATAACGATTTCTAATATGTGTGGTGCCCTACAAATATTCGATAATTTGAACCAGCCGGTGAAAAAAACGACATAGCGCCTTTTACGTTTTATTCCAGCCAATGACGATGTTGGCTTTTTGTTGGCTTTTACGTGTTGGTTATTATACGCACAACCAGCTGGCCCGTGTATTGTTATTATTAATTAATTTATTTATTAACGGTCACCATATTTTTTTGGAATTAGAACTGAATATGTATGATGGTATTGGCTGAATTTCACTCGATGTTTAGTCTAAAGTTACCTTTATAGCACTTTTAGGTCCTAACAGAGCACTAGAAATGTCATAAATTAAGATAATAGCAATAACCATGCACTTTAAAGGCATTTGCGGTCTGAAACAAAAATTATACTATTCCTTTAATTGAATTATTCCAGTTACTGAAAGCCATTTCATTTTATTGTGCAAAAGTTCAGGGACCAGTTCCAGAAACCGGGATAATGAGACAATCATTGTAATAAGTTACGATTGTTTTCGTGTTCCCATATAAATAAGAGCTGTCCTCTTTTGAACGCACGTTTCATTTTGACTCATAAAGGACAAAACAAGGGGCGTGCGCTGGCTCCATCTAGTGATGAATGCTTGATTGGCATTAAAAGTGATTGCATTGGCCTACTTTTCTTCTGATAAATCAAATCAAGTGTACTCGAATGATAAACTACAGTGTCAGATTTTGAAACACATCACACACAATCCCACACACAGATCCTACACTCTTTAAAAAATTGTCGATTAATTGTATTAGTGCTTCACTCGGTATTCTTAATCCCTAAAGTCAGGATGTGTCTCTTCAGCGTACGTATTTTCATGAGGAAATTTTGGCGATCCGCCTAATGATCCGGCGACATTTAATCCGGAATTTATTGATTGCGGCCGAGGTATAGGGCTAGGGTTAGAGTTGCAATCGGGTTAAAGGTTATATGATAGGGTTAGGGTTAGATATCACTTTTGGTCTAGGGTTAAAGTTAGGAAGACGGGTAGTGTAGGATAATCACTGTGAAACAATATTTATGTTCATTTATGTACAGGGCCCCCTGGAAAACAGTACTTTGATTACTGACGGGGCTACCCTGTTAAAATAAAACGGAATAAATAAATAAATAAATAAATAAATCATCGGAACAGTTTTCCAACAAACGATATATCGGGCATAATGTTATTTCAAGGAGATAAGAGGGAGGTCTTCTTGTTTTAATCAATGAATTTAAATATCAGCGGCCTTTTGTATTGAATTTAATGATTGATAAAGAATTTCGTTTAATCATCATAACCCTTAAAAAATCATGTCCATTGACTTGTATAGTCTTATGTTAACAAACGGCTCTAGTACGGTTTCCCTACATAGCCTCTCCCAAAAATCTAGATTTGAAATTATTTTAAAATAAATAATGACAATTATGACTGTATTTGGGGGCAATGTATTGTTTGGGTTCGGAATATTATCTTGTCGTTTTTGGAAATGTTAAGTTCTTGTTCAATCCGTTTTCTGGATCAGATCTACTATCCAATCGTGCTTACTGTGATAAATGGAACCGGTCTACCAGGTAGGTCTATACTATTCTTATTTGTTTATCATTTGTATAGACTGCTGAATATCGATCGGTCTTCACCTCTGCTGTTTTAATATAAGGAATCCTTATATTATTAACCTTTTGAATTGAAGTGTTGAACAACAAAAATTCAAAAGAAATTGCCCAAAATATCTTAAAACAAGCAGAAAGATCGATTTGTCACTTCATGTTCAGAGAGGTAAACACGTGACCCCCTTTTCGCGAAAAATTACAATCATACACAAACACAATGTAAAGATGAAGTGACTTTAACAAGTTTAAGATTTATCATTCAGGAAAGAAAAATTGAAGCACTTTGCCTGACATGCACTCATTTGAATAACTCGTTATTGTTCGATTTCGAAGTACAAATAGTCTCTTAACCACTGTTACTCAGAAATGTATGCTTTATATTTTCAGATCACCTTTTAAAAAATTATTGATATACATGTATACAGTTCTCGGTAGTATAATTACCATTAATATCCACTTTGCACGTTTGAAATCAAAGTCATGTGGCGGATGCAAGATTCTTTGAACATCTACGATATTCTACTCATTTCACCGTGCATTCGATTTGTTATTATTACCCCCCCCCCCAAATAGGATATAGTTTGTTCTTCGCAAGTTCTTACCACGGTACCCTCCCCCCTCTCTCTCTCTCTCTCTCTCTCTCTCTCTCTTTCTATATCTCTCTCTATCTCTCTCTTTCTATTTCTCTCTCTCTCTCCTTCTCTCTCTCTCTTTCCACAGGTGTACATGCCCAGTCATGTCACGAAAGACCTGAGGATGCGTTAACGCGAATCTTTCGACACCGATGTGGA